CGTTGTTTATATTGAAATAGTTCAAATAAGGATAGCTTTTTTGGAGGGACAAAAACATCAGACTTCTTTCGCCCATGGTGAGGTGAGTAGGAGTGTCAGACGCTGTGTCCTCTGGGTGGTCCTCACAAGACGTATATCAAATATTAAAAACCAAAAAATTATCAATAATAACATTAATAAGTGTGGGAGAGCCATGCTTCGGCACGAATGGGTCGACTCGACCGAATTGATACCACGGCCTCACAGAAAACCGGCGTGAAACAACCACAGCGTTGTGTTTCCTTCCCCCAATGCCTCTTCAATCCCTAAATCTCCAAATTCCTAATCTCTAAACGGTCGGCAACGTACTCGTTACTCCTCCTTTGCGGATGTCCATGGTTGGCGCTGATTGCTTACCATCAGGTAATCCGTCTGCTCATTTGCCGAACTATTACATTAAAAAATCTCGACCTGTTATAGAACCCAGAATGTGGGAGTACCATAATTCCGTGCTGACGATTATTCAAGCTACTAAAAATAATAAAGAGAGAACAGGTATAGCTTAGAATCTTTTCAAATTAATTTTTAATTGTGCACCCTTTGCGAAACGATCTCCTTTCAATCAAGAAATATAGGTCAAAGTCACTTATAATAATAAGAAATTAAATGTTTACCTCGATTTTATAATAACTGGGTTAAGGTTTAATTTGTTATGTCAAAGGTAAGATTGCTTACAAATTATTGAACTTTCATCCGTATTCTTTAAATTATATCACACGAGATAAACTTATTTAAGTACCTTAATTCCTTTGTTGGATGAAGTACAATTAGGATCAATATTTCGATATTTCGAAAGCTAGTATAGTATATAGTATGGTATTATGCTGTGTATGGCTATATGGCAATAGGCCCTCTTCTTTTAATATTGCAGAGTTATCAAATGTTAGTAATTGTCGGCCATCGCTGAAAACCACCGCTGCAACTCTGTATCGTATAGTGTCGCTGTTATATGCTGAGCGAGGGCCATTTCGCGTGGTTGTGACGCATTATTTTCCTTATTTTACCTACTCTTTTTTTAAATGACTTCGTGCGAGAGTAATTCACTAAAAAACCCTTAGTTCCTTGTCCTGCTTTAGGTCGAGATCACGGTACCTTATTGCAGTTGCAACGCAATGCCAGCTGCACATCGGCCCTGTGGGGCCCCGTCTGTGATGGTCTATTGACTTTCTGAAGTGCGATAATATGGATATGAAATGAAATATTTTTTATGTCGGATACCCGTAATTTCGGTTATGGTTACGGAGCTCCCTAACATCCTTGATTTGAACGTGACCATAAATAGTAAGCTGTATTTCTCTACTCCAAATCCATGTTAAGCCCCGAAACTATGTATTTTCTACTGAACAATAACAATATGGACCAAAATACATTCTATGGTAACCTCCTAGATGAAATTTGCAATTGTAATAACAAGTCAATAGTGGAAATCACGTTAATTTGTCGCTTCACCTAGCTTGGTTGTTCAAGCGTTTAATCTAGATTATCTAGTCTTTGAGACCTTGACCTGGAATCAAGGTAACGCAAGATGCTCGTGGGAAAAGGAAGAATAGAGGAGGAATAACTTCTATTAATAGAACTGCACTATCATATGATGAATGGTCTTGTGTCTGAAATGAAACAAAAGTTATAAATACCTACCAATATTATTAGTTTGACAGAATTTACGGATATTTGTTTGTTATTGTTTCACGCAAAAATGTATGGACTAATTTGGTTAAAATGTGGTATGTAGAGTGATGTGTGGTATGTTGTTTTTTATCATACTAAGCTAGTAAATTATAATGATTTGATGATAAGCTATGACTACCGTATTGGTCACGTAGTCGTAAGTCAAACTCCCAAACAATTGCTTCCTTGCGTTAAGGCTTTATGCTTGGGCCACATTAACGGGAAATGCCAATAATTATCGCGATAATTAATGATATTAAACTATGAAAAATATGTCTTACGCCATTTGCTTACTGATCAAATTACACATGCGATTATAGTCCATTATCGCGATAATTAATGGCATTTCCCGTTAGTGTGACCCAAGCATTAGAGGAGTAAGAGGCCTCTATGAGACCTAGTACGGACCATGACGACAGTTTACAGAGCAGCTGTCAACACAGCATAGGCAGATCCAAAGTGGATGGGTGCGTGGCACGTCGCGCTCTTTGCGTCTTTTGGTGTGGCATCTTTTATCCTTAAATAAAGCGTGGGGATTTTTTTTGTAGCATCATGGTTGTTCATTCCAGAATCAAAAACTTATCGTACTATTTCGCCCCGTCTGTATGTTTGTTGCTTCTTGTTGAGTTCCGTAATAATAGGCATGTGATAGGACAGTAATTTATAGCATAGTTACCTATAATAATTTCGGTAACATTCCTGTAGCAACGAATACAGAAGTTATTTTTAATTGAAATAAATAATATGCTCTTAGGATAATGTTTTGCAAACATGAAAGGACATTAAATTAAATGATTAAAGAATGTTTGCAAACAACTGCAAACTGCTCTGTAATTTAACTAACATTTAACTATGAAATTGCAATTAATTGGACGATGAAATTTATAAGAAAAACACACATGATGATATGTTTTCATTAAACATTATAAAGGTGGTAGTACAAGGGTTTGATAACAAAATTATGGAATATAAATTGGAAATATGGAACAAATGGTTAAGTGATGATGATGATGATGGCTTTTGTAACTTACTTACACGTCTTATCATGACATCATCAGTAAGATGAACGAAATATTATATATGTAATAAAAATAAATTATCATATTATAAATTTGTTTCCAATTTGAACTGGATAGCTTTTTTACAGACGTGAAATAACAGATGTCTTTTTCAGCCGTAGTTCAAGCGAGAGGAAATGTCAGACCCTTATGACTCAAAAACCACCCCATTCCTTCGAATATACGGGGCCGATGCTACAGAACAGTATTGCCTGCCTTGGTGTCCCCGAGGTGAAGGCTTTTCATGCATTAACACCCTAATGCATGAAAAGCAGGTTCGAAATCTGGAAAGTTCCAATGTGACTTTTTCCGAATTATATGTACTTTCTATGATTATTTAGACACCACTGACATACGATAAAGGAAAACATCGTGAGAAAACCTGCACTTATAATTTCTAATTATAAGTTTTAAATCGCCAACTCCCTAGAGCAAGTGTGGTGATTAATGCTCAAACCTTCTCCGTGTGAGAAGAGGTAGTGGGCACCTACTGACAGGCTGATGATGTAATGTATGTACTCGAAACCCGGAAAAAATCTATCTGGGAGCTCATATTAGCCATTATGACTTTCCACTGTTTGAAAAAATGCTAAGAACTAACATGACGATTGACTGGAATAATTGATTCCCTTAACATTTACTTAAGATGCATGTAGAGATAGTATTGATTGAGAGATGTTTTGATAAATAGGTATAATTATACACCTTCACCTGCTCAATAATATTTTTACATATTTAAATATATCGAAATCAAATTCAGAATTCAAATTTTATAATATCGAAAATATTATAAAATTTGATTCCTCTCACAATTATATGTCTAGTCTAACCCCGGCCTAAACGACAATTCTATTTCGTCCTTGAATAAAGTAAATATAAAGCAAACAAACACACAATAACATATAAATACGTCGCCATTACATCACTTTACTCATTAGAAGAAGAAAGTTCTAAAATTCGTAACACCTACTTCTTTTTAAAATAAGTGCTCAAAATGAAACTCAAAAAATTTCTTTTCGAAAACGAAGCTGTTGTGTAAGATTTTTTATTTATACTCCTCAGATTAAGTGAAATATCAATTTCATAAAATTGAAGAGAGCAATAGGCAATGCTGGTTGCAAAGTCGACGTGGTAAAAAACTGGCTTGCAACGTGTCGCGGGTTCGATTCCCACACGGAACAACTCACCATGTGACCTGCGATCCGTATTAAAGTAAAATTGTCCTTAAAGAATAATTATCCTTAACTTAATTGAACATAACAAATCACTCACGTGAATTAACTGCGAAAAGTTAGAATAATTTTAAGTTAAAACGGGACTCTTATTCATGTGGAGCATGTTACTCTAGTCTACTGATGAGTCAGTCGCGTGAGATTATCGTTATTTTCAATAATTTTAGTCTGTCTCGACAGTTACTGTTCAAAAACATATATTCTTCCTTGCATACATAATTTAAAACAATATACAGTGCGCAGATCATCTTTTTTTATAAGATGCTATTGGCACCGCCCAGGGTCCTCTTGAAGATAAGGGTTTTGAATTTAGGGATTTGAGGAGAGGAAGAACGATTGGGCCTCCGGCCAACTCACATAAACGGCGAAATACAAGGTTTTAGTTCTTTATGTCGGTTTTCTGCCAGGCCGTCGCATCACCCCGGTCGAACTTTTTTTTTATGGTATAAGTCGGCAAACGAGCATACGGACTACCTGATGGTAAGCAATCGGCGCCGTCCATGGACACCCGCAACACCAAAGAAGTTACGAGTGCGTTGCCGGCCTTTTGGTCATAGGAGTTGCGGATATAAGGATCGGGAAGGGAAAGGGCAAGGGAAGGAATTGGGCCTCCAGTAACCTCACTCAGACGGCGAAACACAACGCTGTGGTTGTTTCACGCCGGTATTCTGTGAGGCCGTGGTATCACTCCGGTCGATTCGTGCCGAAGCTTGGCTCTCCCACACTTCACCGCGACATTAATACTGTTTTAACGGTTTCTAGGGGCATCAATTCTCCATCGCAATACCTATACATCAAAATAGTGAGATTTGTGTTAGCAATCGTTGGCGCCTGGCCTAAAAAGGAAATCGGGGAGCCAGAACCGCGATACCAAACCATAATGATCAATACATTTTACTTCGGTGTTGTAAATGCTGCTTTGTTCGGGTCCATTACCTACGTGTACTTTCACAACAGCGAATTGTCATTTCTGGAGGTTGGGCATATGTATATCGTGATCTTAATGAGTGCTGTTGATGTGGTAAGTTTCTTTGTAGACAATTTACTTTATGGTAAGCATTGGACACCGTCTACGGATATCTACGACACCAGGGGATTTAGTTACAAATGCCATTTCCGGTTTTTTGGAGTTGTCCATAAATTGGAATTTGGATAGGGACTTTGAGATCCTTATTCGCACAGTGAAACACAATACTAGCGTTGCTTGAAGTCGATTTTCTCTAACTCTTCTGGAGTTGAAGCATCCCTATTGTATCGAAGCATGGGCCTTCCACACTTGTTAATAAATGTTTTTTTACAGACCAGGGTATATACCTTAACATATTCGCAGAAGTACCGCGACTTGGCTAAAGAATTTCTAACCAAACTACACCTGTTCTACTTCAAAGATCGTTCTCCTTATGCGATATTGGTAAGTTAAAAAAGTCCTTTCGTTTCGTTTAATAAGTCAGCTCTGTATTTACAAAATAATCGATGAATGAAAATTCTATGAACTCGATTTCGACTCTGAATTTTAGGACAGAATCGCCACCGTAATGACATAATCGATTTTATCTAATAGAATGCTTTTTATTATAAGAAGGCGGCAACCAAGCAGACGAATTACCTGATGGTAAACAATCAGCGTCACCCATGTACACCCACAAGACCAAAGGAGGCTTTTAAGAAAGAGTAAACTTATTTCTTGAAAGTTAGAAGATTGTATTGATTCAGAAATAGCGTTGCCAAGAGTTTCATCATCCATCATTTAATTTGTTTCAGACACACAAGAAGGTCCACCTAATATGTCATCTGTTCTCTCTCTGGTTACTGTCGCAGATGTTGACTGGTTTATCTCTATTCAATCTCATCCCTATGTACACAAACTATTCTTCGGGAAGATACGCTAGTGGTGGCACTCAGAATGCTACGTTTGAACACTCCCTATATTTCCCTTACCCTTTCAACACGTCTACTGATATTAATGGGTATATTGTTGCTTGCATTTTGCATTGGTAAGTTTTACTATTATTTTTACTTACTATTGTTTAGCTTATATTAGTCATAACGTGATGTTTTATTGTCAATAAATATATAAAAACAAATCTCAATTTTTCAGTCACATGACTTTAATAATTTACGATTCTAATATTTTTTGCTGTTAGGTATTGCTAAAGTCAGGAGAATGTACGAAAGAAAATTTTAGATAAGTATGGCAGAACATCAGGAACTTGTAACCCTTTCAATGCCATTGCAGCTTGCTATTAAAACAAATGACTGACACTTAAAGCAAGGTCGGGATCCTAGAAAGTATTATTAACTATTTATTTATTACAGGTTATTATCATATTTCTGCGCCACCTGGTTTTGTATGTTCGATCTTTTTCTCTCGATAATGGTTTTTCATCTTTGGGGCCATTTTAAAATTCTAATCAACAGTTTGGATAATTTTCCAAAACCTAGCACGCAGGTTAGCTGCACGTTAGAAGGAGGTTTTATTGTGAATGCTGAAAAATTTTCGAAAGAAGAACTCGTTAAAGTATCTCGGCAACTGAAAGAATGTATTGATTATCATCGAGAGATAATTCAGTGAGTCCAAATAACTTTTAGTTTTTTATTTTATGTAACTGTCTGGGATAAAAAAATATATTTGAAGGTGACATTTCTATTTAAAAAGAAAATGGACACAAGTAAATATGTTGCCATATAGATCGTTTTGCAGTTAACTAAACTTTGAAAGTCGTACTGTGGAGGTTTGCAAGTTAAGATTGCAAAATGTTATTATTATAATATTTAATTGTGAACTTACAAAAATTATATTTTAAGTGTGGGAGAGCCATGCTTCAGCACGAAAGGGTCGACTCGACCGGAGTGATACAACGGCCTCACCGAAAACCAGCGTGAAAAAAACACAGTGTTGTGTTTCGCCGTGTAAGTGAGGTTACCGGAGGCCCAATCTTTCCCCTCCCCCATCCCCTAAATCTAGTAGTTTCCGGCCTTTTGCAGATTTGGAATTGGGGACGGATAGGTAGAGAGGAAGGATTGGGCCTCCGGTAACTTCACTCACACGACGAACATAGCACGTCGGTTGTTTTACACCGGCTTTCTGTGGAGCCGTGGTATCACTTCGGTCGACCCTGTCCAATCGTGCCAAAGCATGGCTCTCTGACTAAATATTGAAACACAGGCAAGGCCTGCTCACTTGAGGTTTTTACCATCTATGTGTTTTTTTTTAATTTAGCGATAATCATAAGTCAAGTCAAACCATATAAATTTCAATTAATCTTTGTTGGCGGCATGTCCATCAGCGAAGCTAAGTGATCGTTCCAAAATAGAGATCTGTATATCGAAGAACGAGCAAGAAACTCCATCGTTACAGTCATTTGTTAATTTTCAGATTCACAAATACCATGTCGGATGTGTTTGGGCCAATGTTGTTTTGCTACTACATATTTCACCAGACAAGCGGATGTTTACTGTTGCTGGAGTGTTCACAAATGGTTTGCCAATACGAATTCTTCTATCCTAATTACCTATATAACAATCCTACTAATATTTTAAATATGAAAGTTTGTGAGAATATACGTTTGTATGTTTGTTATTCTTTTACGAGAAACGGCTAAAACGATTTGATTGAAATTCGGTATGTAGATACGTGAAGTCGAAGCCATAGGCGGAAGCTAGAAGAATTGTAATTATAACCACTTTTTTTAAGTTTGCCTCACACCAGGATTTTCCCTGTGTCGCGAGTGCTGTTACAAATATACAATATCACATACACATGACACCTAGACCCGGAACAACAAATTGTGAATCACACAGAGTTGTTTCGTGCGGAAATCGAACCCGTGACACGTTGCATGGCATCCAGTTGCCGAGCACCAAACGTGCAGTCAGATAAATTTTGATAATTAAGTTATTAAAATGTCATAATAATATAATTCACAATTTCTGTTGCAGACTGCGAAAGCTTTAATGCGTTATGTCCCACTGACGATAATACTGACACAGCAATTAATTCAATTATCAGTCATTTTTGAACTGGTCGGTAGTGAGGTAAGAAAGTCTTTTTAACTCCCTTAGTTCCGATGGAATGGGTGGTATGATCGCTATAAGGCGTTTTGTCCCTAAATCGGGCCATCGAGAATGCCCGAACGCCCTGTGTCCTAAGTCCCAATGAATCGTGCCGTCTGATCACCGCTTTAGTCTCGGAGCAGAACTATCCAACTGAGAATAAACAGTTACTTAACTTCTGTATATAGCATCAGGATTCATCACCACCACTTTTTTTTAGGTATAATTCAATTGATATGATTACTCGGTATATATGGCTAACTGGACGAAAGCTCTTTTTTTACCTTACAAAAAGAAGGATTTTGTTTTTTTTTATATTATTATCTACTGTGTATGTTTAATTTATATTTTGGAAGGATTTTCGACAGTTATTTTATCGTCGCTGCATGTTAAAGAAACCATCTTTTCTATGTGAAATTTTTTCATAGATTGTTCACCAACATTGTAAAATATTTTTCAACACACTTCCTCATACACTGGCTCTAATCTCACGGCAATTAGGCACGCAAAGACACCTATAATCAAACTGCGACTTTGTCATTAGTATTAGTCACAAGTAAGTAATAGAGTTATTTTTAAATTATTGTAAATACCAAAAAAAAGAAACATCATTTTTTAGTCTGTGGCCGATGCGCGTGCATAGGAATAGGTACTGAGTAATTTTCCCGCAATTACGAAACTTTTTTCACAACTCGTCTCGTTTTCTCTTTTGAAGTTTTTTATTTAAGTATTATTTTATTCAGAAGTGTGTTGAAAAACGTCGTATGATACACTTGTGTATTGATACCCTCTTTAAGACCCTCGCCTTACTTACCAACATGACACACTTGTGCCATAATCTACTATTACAGAGCGAGAAATTAAAGCATGCTGTTTATGGTCTACCATGGGAATGCATGGATGCGAATAATAGGAAAGTTGTAGCTTTCTTTCTGATGAATGTTCAGGAGCCTGTTCATATAAAGGCGCTGGGTGTCGCTAATGTTGGCGTCACTTCTATGGCGGCGGTAAGTCATCATCATCTCATATATAAATAAACGCTCTTGCATATTCTTCGTACTTGTGAATTGTTTTTCTTGCTTTATGAACCGAATATACCTACAGTAGTTGTTGTCCCTATCCCTTTCATCATAACACCATATTATATTCAGCAAAATGACACTGCTTCATGGTGAATATGCCAACCCCACGAAGCTTTTTTTTTTTATAACGTTGCCCCACGCTAGCGTTTTCTACTGTGTCGTGAGTGCGTTTACAAACATACAGTTTCACATACACAAGAGACCCGGTACAACAATTTGTAGATCACACAAAAAAATGTTCTATGTGGGCATTGAATCCGCGACTCGCTGCGCACAAGCGACAGCCAGACAGTTTCGCGTCAAGATTTTTATCAGAACCGCTATGGAGTGAATTTTTTGGCAGAGTCTGTGTTTTCTGAAGGGTCTCTACTAAGCCCGAGTTATTTTTGGCAGATGGCAGACTCCATCGTAGGTTACATAGTTGTATAGCAAGTTTAACAATTGGAAAAATTCTCTGTTAGGCCCTTTGTCTCACAAGAAGTGCACAAGTTTCATATAGTGTAGAACCCAGCTATCAATAATTATGATATAAGCTAATCACCATACTATTTTACTGACTTCATAAAAATAGTTTCCTAGCTAAGCTTATAGATAATTTGCTGACATAGTAATACATAAGATGGGATGTAGATAAATGAGCCTCTATTTGCAGCACTAAGCTGGTAAATTAATGAATACAATAGTTTCCAACTAGTCAAATTCAATACTTTTATCCAAATGTCAAAAACCTTTCCATGAAAATTGTATGAAAAACTGAGTCATGACGTCATAGTATTTTTGCGTCAAGTAGCTTACTTATTTATTAAAAATTTGCTACAAAATATTTAAAACTTAGAGTACCAATTGATCGATGAGTAGGTAATTTTCAGTATTTTATTGTTTTGAAACGTCTAATTAGTTTATTTTTGACATAGGAAACTACCCAATTGTGTACAAATTCGACAAATTCCTTTGTACTGTCACTGGTAACAAAACCATAGTCCGAATTTTAATCGAGCAACGCCATCTATCGAGCTTTGAGATAACTTTTGACTAGAAAATATTCTTTGAACTTAATATTACGTACTAAATACGTTTACTCTCTCTCTTTTCCAGATTTTGAAGACTTCAATGTCCTACTTCACGTTCTTACGAAGCATGTGAATTAATGTTCTAAGATTTAAGCATTAGAGAGCGTTTTTCATTAAGTATTATAAATTTAAATATTTTTTCCCATTATGATTGACCTCAAAAAATAAAAGTTAAGAACCCCACATATGTATTTTAAGTTCACTCAGGGCTGATTTTTCAATAGTCAGATAAATGTTATTGCTGTCACTGTCTTATACAAACATTCTGACGCGACAGCATCATATTTAATTCCCCATTTACCTTTTATCTAACCATTGAAAAATCAGCCCTCAGTCGAACGTTTTATGATTGAAACTTTTGCGTTGCCTTTTTTATTTCTTTTACTATTAGACTGTTCGGCGATACTACTCCTTGGATGAAGTAGATTGATCTTCATCTACCCTCAATGTTAATAAATGTACACAATAAAGTCGCATGCACATACTCACTGTGTAGTGTCAAAAAACTCAAGCAAAATACACATTTATAGAAGGTGCATACGTGTGCGTTAAATTCCGTAAAAAAGTAAAGTACCAATCGATTTTGTTTTTTTAAACGTTAATTTCTCTATAAGTATATCATAAATAATTGTTTTAAAGTTATGCAAACAATCGCTATAATTGTATATCAATAAAAACGTTTCAGATGTACTTAACTAGTTATTCTTATGGTACCTACATTTTGACTTTGAAATTTTAAATGGTTACCTAATATTGTATTCCTCATTCCTTTAATGATTACTTCTCATTAGCTTATAAGTAAGTGCTTACTACTGAACAAAGACCTCTTCTTCCACGGATAAGATTTTAGGACTAATCACCACGCTTGCTGAAGGCGGATTGGCGATTTTAAACTTAAAGTTAGGTAGTGTGGCATCTATTAGATGCCACTATCACATGGTGAAGGAAAACATCGTGAGAAAACCTGGACAAATTAGAAAGTAACTCATACAAAGTAAATTGTACACAATGTAAATTGCCGGTTTCTCGGTGATCTTCCGGCGGCGGTATTCCCGAACCGCCTGTGATTCCTCTGAGGTTGCGGATGTCTATGGGCGGCGCCGATCGCTTACCATCAGGTGATCCGTCTGCTCGTTTGCCACCTATTCCATAAAAAAACCCTCATGCACGAGAAGCGGATGCGCCTGATCTACCAACCACCACGAGGTTTTGTAAATGATTACTTAGCGCAGTCCTTACTTATTATTTTCGGAACGAACGAACTAAGGAATAATTTAGTCAATCATTAACAATCTCTGAGTACAGCAATTATCTAGTTTTTAGTTTAAAATTTAGTTACGTGTGTTTTTCCAGACTATCATTTATAATAACAAAATCTGTAGATAAATACGGTTGATTTTATAAAAGTTTAAAAACACAATCCCTTTTATCGTTTCGTCTTTATTTTTACCCAATTTTTAGGAAAATAGTAGTCATAGTCTTTCTTTTTCCATTTCCAGTCCCTCTTCAATACTATCGATACTAATGTAAGTTTGTATGTAGTTGGTAATCTTTGGAACCGCTAGTCGGATTGCCAAAATTCTTTCACTGATAGATAGCTACAATGTGCCTGAGTGTTATAGGCTATAAAACATAACGCTACGGTTGAATGGAGCCGAGCAGCGGGTGAAACCGCGCGAGAGTAGTTAGCCTGATAAAGGAGACGGGGACTTCTGGGCCCTCACGTAATAAGTTGAAGAAGGGCTTAAAAAAAGGTAATTTTTTTCTATTTTACATAGTAAAAAATCAATTTATTTTACAATCTGGGAAATGAAAAATCCAACAATTTAGTTAGGGTTACGAAGTAATCGGATTATCGGTTCAATTGTGATTAATAACTCTGTAACGAACAGAGTTCATACTTTTTACGAAAATGATGTCACTGAATGATTTATTTAATTAAAATAATTAAATCAATTAAACTCACAACAGTTTAAACAGAGTTTAGAGTTTAAATATCAACATAATTAAAAATATTTTATCGATTCGTTTTTACTAATCGATTATTGTATTTTTAATGTGTGCTAGCTCTAACATGTATGACATGACACCGATCAACACTCGTTTCGTATTGTCTATGCGTGTGCGTTCTGAGTGTTTTTATTTTCCTCCCATTTTTCTTATTGGTATTTTCCTCGGCCCGGCTTTCCCACGGACCTTTGATTTTCCTCTTTCTACGACCCTTGCCTTGCTACCATTACCATACCAGACACGGAGAACTTCGCTTAAACGTTGAACTTGGACTTGCATATTTTGGATTCGACGAACAGCCTACCGATAGGATATTGATCGACATTATGGATCGTTGTGTAAATTGTCGCTGTAATACACTAGGACGTCGAGCTTTGGATGACGAAATGACGATTAGACACGACGATATTAGCAGTGATTCGAAAATGGCCAAAGGAGGAGGCGAAAGGAGGAGGCTGACCTCCTCCTTGGCGAGCCTTACTGCATAAGCCTTGCCTGCTAAGTAAACTAAAAAGACGAGAAAGTAGGTAAACAAGAAGTAAGCTATGCTGTGCAGTCGAAGGATGTATCTGGTTTATATTTAATATTTGTTTTTATACAAACATAAATACATACAAATATACACACGTATACTATTAAAACCATTACCCGCCTCCGGCAATCGGGTAAAAATCACTATCGCACTTCAAAAATTGGCTAATATATATAGATTGATACTTAACCTCACTTTTCTTAAATCTTTTATATCTCGGCTCCCAGATTGCCAATATCTGCGAAATTTTCAGTAATTGTTTGTTAATATAGTAGCTATCAAATGACACCAGTTTCATCTTTTTACATCTACGCCCAAAATTGTATAAAAGCGTATCCGTCTCCTTTTGATTATTTTTTGTAGTTGTCTAGCGAAGACCTCGTGAAGAATAATGTTGAGGCAAGACCAGCCAGGGTTGCGGGGTAAGCGCAATGAGTCACCGCCACCTCAGCCCAGAGCAGGAGAAGGAACGAGGGGATTTTTAGTCAGTAAGAGTCTGACACTCTCTCTTGCCTTACCCTGGGCGGGAGAAGTAATAGGATGATTTTCCCCTGACAAAAAAAAGGGTGAGGCAAGAGGGAGTACAATAGTCTTACTGGCTAAAAACCACGTTCTTCTGCTCCAGGACGACGCCGCGGTATTATTGCGCATACCCCGCAACCCCGTCTGTAAAGAATAATGCTAATTCTCAAACCTCAATGTGAGAAGAGGTTTGACACAGTAGTGGACACAAGACACTAGACGTAGACTGATGATATATATTTTCAGAAAATCAAAATAGATAAAAATGGTCTATGCCACTAAAACGCACCAGAAAACGGCAAGTTTTAATATACATATAATTATGTTGACAGAAATAATGGTAATAGAATTAAGAATAATGCTAAGTAAATTGAAATGAATGCTTATAATAAAAGAGGGCACACGACGTGATAATTGAAGCTTGTCTCAAATATCGACAAAGACCTCTACTATTATCAATTTAATATTTACTTTGAAGTAATAATTAATAGGATCAAGTTATGAATGTGAAAAGTACACGTTGTGGTTTTTTATACAGGCTGTGACTTGTATTAACAGCTTACGTCCCTTCAATTTTTCTTAAAGAATTAGGGGCAAACGCGTCTTCCCTGATGGTAAGCAATCCGTGCCACTGGCGGCCATCAATGTGTTGCCGACTTTTTGAAGGGTCATGTGCTTTCGGAGTCTTGCTGTATCACAACGCAGGCATTTTCAAGAACAGGGTTGGTGCTGTTGGCTGCTGTGCAACGCGACGCAATTTCGATTCCCGCACAGTATCACCCACAAATTGATTCAAGTATGGCTGGCTTGTCTTTCAAATTTGTATGTTTGTAAACACACTCACCACAAAGAAGAAAACCATAGAAAAGTCTAATGTTTTTAAACTAAAAATGGAGGACAATAGGGCTGATATTTAGCCGGGGTTGCAGGGTAAGCGCAATGAGGCACCGCGACCTCGGCCCAGAGCCGGTGAAGGAACAGGGGAGTTTTTAGTCAATAAGAGTCTGACACTCCCTCCCGCCCGGCCCTGGGCGGGAGAAGTCATTTGATGATTTTCCCCTCACAAAAAAACTTTACAGTTTAAACAATATTACCCAGTGTCACTGAATGAGTTAAGCACCTTACGAAAAGATAGAAAACAACAATATATTTTTATAACGCCCTGTATCTGGAATTCTTTAGACTGCATGGCTCAATGGTAACTTTATCCAGATATAAAAAGACGAAATAACATCTCCTCGATTCTTGATTCAGTGGAACATTGGTATACACCTTCCTTTCATTAAAATAAAATGGAAAGTTATTAGGAAGAATCAAAAGAATTTTTTTAAATATACTTAGTACGGGTCACTTTTTTCAGTACAATGGGACTGAAAAAGTTTCTTTTCGAAGATGAATGTGTTAAGTAAGTAATTTATTTAATAACAGCATTGATGAGATTATTTTTTTATGTGGTGGCGTGGCAAACTAGAAAGAAAGTAAGTAATAGGCGCCGCCTCATCAATAGGATATCAGAATTAGAGGTTTTAAGGAATCGCGATTGGGAAGGATTTTCCATGCAAAACGAAAACGTTGTTAGTGTCAAGCCAACCCATGATGATGTCGAATCATTGTGATCCCAAATTAATAACTTAAACTCCATGATCAACATCATTACAATCACCATCTGATCATATGATTATGTCATTCAAAACTAAATCATAAAATTCCCACTCGTCGACATATACCTGTCCTAATAGGTTAGTTCTAGTAGAATGAACCTGATATCAAAATTTAGATGCTGACGCAGCGTGGGCAGGCCTCCTGTTTCATTAGAGTTAACCAACGAGATGGATAGAATCACGGGGATGAAAACAATGAGTTTTAGTTCGACGTAGAGTACAGAGACTTACAGACCATTTTAAGAATGTCTTTTGACTAATAACGGTGACAATAAAGTTGCAAGAGTTGGCAAGCCATATTTGCATGATTTTAGCATTCATTTCATCTACATATATCATCATCATCATCTTTATGACAGCTCATTGATCATTGATCCAGTGTTGTTTCCATAAGACTAATTTCATAATGTTTTTTCAGGGGCATCACTGCTCCCACAGATTACCTGTATGTAAAACTTTTACGCATGTCTTTGCGTATCATCGCCTCTTGGCCTCATAAAGAGCTCGGAGAGAAAGACCCTGTGATCCTGAATACATTCCTTAAGTATTTTTATTTAGCAGCAACTTCTGCTTGTCAATTCGGTTCATATCTTTACCTCAGAACGTATAATGATGAACTTACTATGATGGAAGCTGGCCATTCTTATCTCATGATTATGATGACATTCATTGATATAGTGAGTTAACACTTACAAGTTTTATAAGCTTTCTTATCATTACTGGATTTGGTTTCAGACTAATGCATTATTATGTATTATTTTTCTACATAATTATATTTTAAAACCTTGCACATGTAGTTACTTACTTGTGATGGAACGCTGTGCATATTTATGACTAAAAATATTATATTTTAATTCTTTTTCTGTTTACAGTCAAGAATTGTCACGCTGACTTTTCGTAAAAAATACAGACTTATTTGCAAAGAATTTTTCACGAAAATGCATCTGTTCTATTTCAAAGATATATCTGAACATGCGATGGAGGTATTGTATTCACATTAAACTTATTTTTTTATTCAATTAGAAATGAAGAAATCAAATATAAATGCAAATGACTGCAGTTGTTGTACGTTGTCAACGGCTGCTACTTTAACGAACCAATTCTTGGTTAGTCCAAAAATGGTTTCGGTTCTGGGTGTGTTGTGTACGAAATTGTGTCTTTGTAATCGTACTTACCCTAGCTAGACAATAAAAAGGATGAAATAAAATGTTGCGATGGCCCCAAAATGCTTCCTAGCAGCACAACTTGTTTGTTTAAGGGTTATTGTCAATATGATGTGGAAAAATATTGTTTTATTGTTTTAGACTCACAAACGTGTCCACTTGATGTCTCATTTGTTTACTTTGTGGTTAATATTTCAAATGGTATTTGGAGTACCTCTATTTAATCTCATCCCAATGTACTACAATTATGCCGCTGGAAGATTTAAACCAGGTGGAACTCAAAACTCTACTTTTGAACATTCTATGTATTATGAGTATCCATTTGATACACTCAGAGATATTAGGGGATACATCGTTGCTAACATAATCAATTGGTAAGATCTGCACTACACCTATTTCATTTTACTGTTATTAAATTATTTCAGAATATTTTAAATATTGCTTTATTATTACTTCATTCACAAAACGTTGTACATGGCGGACTTAATGCATTAAGCATACTCTACCATTATAATAGTTAAATTAATTTCTTTGGTTGCAGGATATTGTCTTGTCTCTGCGTAACCTGGTTCTGTATGTGTGATCTCATTCTATCCCTTATGGTGTTCAATATTTGGGGTCATTTGAGAATGCTTATTTACACTCTGTATCATTTTCCTAGACCAAGTATAGAGACTACCATTACGATTGAAGGAGGTTTGACAGTAACAAGCGCTAAATATTCCGATGAAGAAACATTGGAAGTTTTTAAAAAGTTAAAAGAATGTGTAAATTATCACCGACGGATTGTTGAGTAAGTAAAAAATTGTAGTACAAGAATAAGCTCTTTTACAAATGATTTTTAATCAACTAAGGTTTTATAAAACCCCATTAGATACAGGGCTTTTTTTGTCAGGATAAAATCATCAAATTACCTCTCCAGTCCAGGGTAAGGCAAGAGAGAGTGTCAGACTCTTACTGATTAAAAACCCCGTCGTTTCTTCTCCTGCTCTGGGCCGATGCCGCGGTGACTTATTTATTCCGCTATAGGGCCCCATCTGTGGTGGTCTATAGGCTCGCTACGCACCGTCCGCTCGGGCCTGGATCTGGTCGGGCAGCGAGCAACCCTTACTCGCAGACCCGCGCATTAGACATAGAGCTAAGGTTAATTCACGCGGGTAGAAATGGCTTTTTCTCTTGATCTCTCTATGGGTTTGATTTCTAATTTGTTTCCTAATATGAATGTTACATGTACATTTTCAAATAATCTTATTACAGGTTCAATAGCCAAGTGTCTGATGTATTTGGTCCGATGTTGGTCTGCTATTATTTATACCACCAGACAAGTGGCTGTTTATTGTTGCTGGAGTGCTCACAGATGGTTCGTTTTTTTTTTTTGATGGCAATGTTATATTGTATACGTTGTGGTGTTTGTGGTGACAACAGAGCAGGATACGTTTGTTACCATCCCTAACGAGGGTGATTTCAGAGTTAGTAAAGGGTATTTTTTAATTAATTAAGACAGGGAGGTAACATTATATTATAAATGCCATCATTATAAACTACGACCTTCACCGGATTAGACTGAAGATCATGACCAACGCCTCTTCTGTTGAGGAAGCCCAATATCTTTTGATCTCTTTGAATAACTTCAAGACAAACTATATGATCTTTTATACTGTATCCATGCCTTATCTAGCATTACGGTTCTTTTTCAAAATTGAGAGGATAGATTGGTGAACCCCATCCTTTTATAAATAGAAAGTAGTTAAATAAAACAACTAGTAAGCTTATGCTTATTCCACATCAGGTCACTTTAGCCCTGTGTTAATAAAAGTTTTTTCAGCTTAATAAAGTATAATTTATTATATAATTGAATTTTCTATTTCAGACGGCACCAGTACTTATGCGTTATTTGCCACTAACAATAGTATGTACTCAACAGCTCATTCAGTTGTCAGTAATTTTTGAACTGATTGGGACTGAGGTAAAGTATTTTTGTGTAGCTTAAATTATATATATCGATTACTATTGTATGTAGGTATAAGACAACTATAAAGTCCCTAGTTCCTTTGGAAGGAGAATCTTGAGTAAAGCAGTACCAAGCTATTAGGCCAACGCAAAACCACGACAGTTTTATATAGAGTGAAATTTAATACGACGCGGATCAAACAAGCAAGTGCATCCAATTGTATTCGGTTGCTTGTTTTTCAAAAATACCGACATGAACCGGCTGGCTTCTGGAAACTTAGAAATGTTACTCCAAATGTCGACACGGGCTGCGTAGGATCTTTTTCTTTTTCATCGTGTCTTCATTTCTGAAGGTCGTCTATGCATAATACTCCTTCAAGGTCATGAATGTCTGTCTATGAATTTCTTCTTTGGCATGTTTGAGAGTAATGCTGATCAAATAGCCCGTGGCCCGAGCTCTTTGATTTGTTAGGGAAGGAACTAGTACTAATATTGCTACTACCTTCCACACAGTTCACATTACTACCTTCTCTCGCGCAGTTTCACTCGCTGCTCCATTTGATCGTAGCGTGATGTTTTATAGCCTATAGCACTCAGGAACATTGTAGCTATCTATCAGTGAAAGAATTTTGGCAATCCGATCAGCGGTTCCAAAGATTACCATCTACATACAAACTTAGAAATTTTAAGTCTTCATAATATTAGTATAGATAAAAATTAATTTTTATAAGTTAAATATATTTCAGAGTGAAAAATTACTAAACGCTGTGTACAGTGTACCATGGGAATGTATGGACACAAGTACTAGAAAATTTGTATCATTTTTCCTAATGAACGTTAGGGAACCAATACACGTAAAAGCTTTGGGCATTGCCAATGTTGGCGTCACGACTATGGCAGCGGTAAGTTCTACTATTATGAGTTTTACTCACTCTGATTTTTGTTTTACCAAAAATGACAATATGTACTTGATTCACTACATAGTATAAAACGAAATCACTTCATCTTTTTATATGTATATATGGTGTATCGTTAACTATCGTTGTGGCCTGGAGGTCAAGAAGCCCGCTTCTCATGCATGAGGGTGTGGTTTCGAAACATGGGACCAATGTGACTTTTTCCGAGCTATATGTACTTTCTATGATTATTTAGACACCACTGACATACGGTGAAGGTAAACAACGTGAGGAATCCTGGACTTATAATTTCTAATTATAAGTTTGAAATCGCCAACCCGCATTAAGCCTGCTTGGTGATTAATGCTCTAACCTTCTCCATATGAGAAGAGGCCTTTGTTCAGCAGTGGGCTCTTATAGGCTGATGATGATGAATGATTATGATGTATGTATGCTTAAGACGTGCAAACTAGGCATTGGATTTTGTGCAGTTTTTTTCTATTAGATTGAGTGATTGAAATGAATAGTTTATATTATCAGCATTCCATACGTGTGAATCTAGGAGGGGAGGGGGGGGGGGAGGTTTGCTAATTATTATAATTTAAAAATGATGTATTTTATATCACAAATCATGTGAATCATGTGTACAGGTATCGTTAATTATTTTGTAGTTATGTTTGTGTCATCGTCTAGAGATAGAGTTTCCATAAAATATTTTTTTCGAAAAGTTGTTGCTAAACTTGGGAATATCCGTAAAGGCTTTCCTAAGAAAACAAATGACTAACACTAATGTAGCCGGACCGTGAGCCGGATAAACTGGGGGGGCCGCTAACATTAATATATAACGAATTGTAACTAGGTATAATAATAGTATATATAGTAGTATGATTTCGTCATAATATTAAGCGAAACACAAAAATATGTGTTTGATCCATGAAATTTTTAGTGGTTTTGTTTATTTCATTCAAACATGTCTTTTATGTGACGGCAAACGAGCAGGCGGATTACCTGATGGTAAGCAATCAGCGCCGCCCATGGACACCCGCAACAACGAAGGAATTACGAGTGCGTTGCCGACCTTTTAGGGATTGATATTTTGGGGATTTAGGGATTGGGGTAGGCGAAGGATTAGGCTCCCGGTAACCGCACTCTTCTTCTCGTTTTCTGTGAGGCCGTGGTATCACTCCGGTCGTGCCGAAGCATGAATCTCCCACACTTACACTAACATTGAAATCTAATATACGTATTTATTTTTCTTTCAGATTTTGAGAACTTCACTGTCATACTTTACTTTCTTGCGCAGCATTTAAATTTGATTTGTTACGTTTTGTAACTTAAGGTTATCTTTATTTAGAACTTTTACGATTTCTTCTTCTTTACTATTGGTCTCTTAACCTCATTTATTCACATCATTAATGTTAATATTTAAATAAAGAACAACAAGAAAATATTTTAATAATGTATTTACAAGTAACCACAACTCTTGTTTTTCTATTGCAATAATAAACTTGGTATTCAATTAATTACGAATTTTATTTAAGCTGTAACCACTTATCTTTAATTTACATTAAAGTTATCTGTCAAGACTCAAAGAGCCAATAGACCACCACAGACGGGGCCCTATAGGGCTGGTGTTCAGCCGGGGTTGCGGGTTAAGCGCATTGAGTCACCGCGGCCTCGGCCCAGAGCAGGCGAAGGGACGGGGGGGGGGGGGGTTTAGTTAGTAAGAGTCTGACACTCTCTCTCTTCTTTCCCTGGGCGGGAGAAGTCATTTAATGATTTTCCCCTGACAGAAAAAAAGACTGCTATTTTTCCCTTGTGTCATATGGCGCAAATGAACGGTTTGCGTGATGGTACCTTATCAGCGCTGCCTATTGACACCAGCAATACCAGAGAAGTCGCTAGTGCATTTCTGGCCTTGTAAAAATAAGGAGTTTTGGTGATTTAGGGGTTTTTAGAAGGGACAAGTATTGGGCATTAGGTTACCTCACTCACATGGCGAATTGCAACGCTATAACAGTAGTTGTTTCAGCCCATTTTTCTTTGAGAGTGGTATTATTATGGACGACCCGGCCCATATGAGTCAAAGCATAGATCTACTATCACTTTAAAATATTTTCTTCGCAGAAAGGTTTAAAAGCCATTATAGTCTGTCCATAAATTGATATCACCATTATTCGTGGAACAATAATTTCACCTTCATTTATTTCTTGCCTACTTTTTAATGACAAAATGACGTACTAACAATATGACAGCAATTTTTAATTTGACACAATTACGGTCTAGGGTTGCCAGAGGCATAGAATAGTTTTTACTTGGTTTTTTCCTTTGGGTGTTTTATGTAGGGTCTTTAAAGGAGGTCTCAGCTTAGTGCATATCTTGGATAAACTTTTATTTGCGTTTTCTTGTTCATAAATAATCTACATTATATATCTATACAATTATATACACACGATTTATGCCAAGAAACTAAGATTCCATTTGAATTAATCCATATAAATATCGAATACGAAAAGGACTACAGTTGGACTAAGGATTGCAATTAGGTTTCAAATGAGATGGGTAATTGAAATCAATAGATCACTTGATGGTAAGCAGTCTTGTCGTTTATAGACACAAAAAGGCAACTCCAGAAGAATCTTTCAACAACTTCACTCTTCGAATGACAAACAGTGCAAGCCTTTTATCACACTAGGTTCCTGAAAAAATATACAATTCAATATTTTGTGACGAAACAAGACACAATTTGAGAATGTTAGTATTCAAAAGCGCTCATCTTTTAATTTAATAATAATTTCAAACCTTACAAAGGATAATATCAAAATGGTGGTATTAATTTTTTTTAATAGTTCTGCAAATGAACAGACGTATTACCCGATGTTAAGCAATCAGCGCCACCTATGGACACCCAGGAGAAGGAGTTACGAGTGCGTTGTCGACCTTTTAGGAATTAGGGATTGGGAAGGGATCGGGGTAGGGGAAGGATTGGGCCTCTGGTAACCTCACTCACACGACGAAAAACAACACTGTGGTTGTTTTACGCCGGTATTCCGTGAAGCCGTGGTATCACTCCGGTCGAGCCGACCGTTCGTGCCGAAGCATGGCTCTCCCATACTTAAAAATATAGTAAAGTAATAAAACTCCCACATTTCAGGGTAATTTCCTGCTGCTATTTTTACACGTGTGTGAGATTTTTAATCGCTATAGCAATACTTAGTTAACTTTTTAACTTGTCCTTCGAGAAATCACGTATAAATAAAAAACGCCTTAGTATTAAAATCTAAGATTTTATGGAAGTTCTGCTATGGATTTTTTTCTATTTCCATTGCTGCTATTCTGAAGAGAGATTTTTCTAAAGACTTAGAAAATGCAATATTGAATATCTTGTTTATAGCTTGCTTGTCTTTTTTATCCGAGATGGGTTTAAAAAATTTCCTATTTGGAAACGAAGCAGTTCTGTAAGTTATCTAATATTTATTTATTTATCAAAAACCTATTATATCTTTATAAGGCTTTCTCTAAAGCGATAGATAAGACCTTTAACTAAAATAAACTTTATACCACACAATAAAACAAATAAAAACGAACTTCTAAAATTATTAAACAATTCAACGATAATAAAACTAATTAGGGACATACTTAATCCTTTTATACAGTAGCCTATGTAATTGCTTATTTTACCAGGCTTCAACTTCACTATAAAATAACGTTACCGATGACTATGGTATCACCCTCTTACAAAATAGCATAAAATCGGGCACCAGATCACGATAAAATACAATGAAAACGCAAATTTATCAAAACAACCTCTTTGCTCTAGAATGCTATTATTACAAAAACTTATCATTTTCACAGAGGCATCAATTCTCCCACTGACTACCTTTACATCAAGCTCTTGCGTTTCAATCTGCGCATTGTTGGATCCTGGCCTCAGAAAGAACTGGGAGAGAAGGAACCTGTGGCCTTGAACACATTTCTGAAGTACTTTTATTTGATTACCACCATTGGCTGCCAATTTGGTTCGACCGCTTACCTTCGTGCCTATAACAGTGAACTTACTTTTTTAGAGGCTGGCCATACTTATCTGATGATCTTGATGACTTTTATCGATATTGTGAGTTTATGTATAGTCTTTTATTCTTTTCTGTCGTTATTTTGAATTGTGGAACTAAGGGCACATAGTGTATGGTTTATCGTTTGCTAAAATCCGTCCACTGTTGGTCATAATTCTCCAATTATGCTGCTGATAGGCAATAGGCAGAAGAATTGCAATTGTGTTGCTGGTCTTTCCTAAGAACCCACAGATCTTAGGGAATTAAGGATTGGGAATGCAGGGAATGGAAGTTGTGGTTGCCTAGCGGTTAATGCACCCACTTCTCACACATGAGGGGGCAAGAACCAATCTGAATATTTGAGTTATATGTACTTTCTAAGTTATTTAGACACCACTGGCGTATGGTACTATTTGTGTGATCCACAAATTGTTTGCTGTTTCGGGTCTGGGTGGCTTGTGTGTGAATTTGTATGTTTGTAAACGCATCCACGACACAGGAGAAATTTAAGTGAGGGGCAACTTTAAAAAAAAACTTGTTTCCAATGCAATTATAAACAAAAAATGATTTAAACCAATGTTGAATTCCATTACAGTCCAGGATCCTCATGCTCACATTTTCCAAGGAGTATCGAAAAGTATGCAAAGAATTTCTCACTAAGGTACACTTGTTCTACTTCAAAGATAATTCTGAATATGCCATGAAGGTAAAATATATTATTATTTATCCATATTCATTCCTTTCACGGGATCACAGGATCCCGGACCTTTGGAAGGCGTACAAGGGGCCGCAGCCAACTCACAGAGGCCCGTTGAACAGTTTTAATCTAAATGTGGTGGGACATCAGCCGGCAATCATCTCTGTATGCACTATAAAAGTACACCCAAGGACAATCCCCGGCTTATGTATATATTTACAATAGTACTGCTATTGTGCAATAGGGTGGCTATAAACTGGTAGATGATAACTAACAATAACAAAAAGTATTTGTTTGCGTCTGGGACCCATAAAAACACGAAACGAACAAGATGATAAAAATTAATTATTAATTTAATTAATTAATTAAAAAAGGAAAAATACATAAAGCATGGTAAAACAATACCTATAACAAAAGTAAAGAGTAGGAGAAAAATATGCGTCCAAGCACGCGTAATGGCCCTCGCTCAGCATTATCCAGCGACCCCATACAAGACAGTGTCGCAGCGCTGATTGAACTACGAAATACTATGGCCCCTGCCGCTGACCAATATTGCTACATACGATTATTAATCCTAATTAAAATGCATATACATATGTAAATATATGCATAATACCTCAGCAAAGCTCAAGATACTAAAGTTCTAAGAATGCTCAAAGAATTTCTTTGGGAAGCTAATCACTCATATCATTCTTTATTTTAGACTCACAAACGTGTCCACTTGATGTCTCACCTGTTTACGCTATGTTTATTGTCACAAATGATATTTGGTTTGAGTTGCTTTAATCTCATTCCAATGTACAATAACTATGTGGCTGGAAGATACAAGAGTGGAGGGACACTGAATTCAACGTTTGAACACTCTCTTTATTACAAATATCCTTTTGATACTCTTACTGACATAAAAGGATATATCCTAGCAAATGCGATTAATTGGTAAGATTGTAGTTTTATAATCTAATATTTTGTAAGTACTAATATCAAATTTGTTATTCACTGGAAAGTTTCTAGACCTATAAATTCATAAATCTGGACGAAAATGTAATCATTTAGGATCACTTATTACAAATTTGTTATTTACGTGGCTATGAATGCTTTTGATTTAACAATAAAGGATATTAAAAAATATTCAACGTTTTCTGTTTCAGGACATTGTCATACCTCTGTGCTACCTGGTTCTGCATGTTCGATCTCTTTTTATCATTAATGGTTTTCAATATTTGGGGTCATTTAAAAATGCTTATTCATACTCTGAACAATTTTCCCAAACCACGTTCAGATAGAAGCTATTTATTCCAAGAAAGTTCGATAGAAACAAGTAAAAAATATTCCGAAGAAGAACTCTTAGACGTGTTTAAAAAACTAAAGCAGTGTGTTGATTCTCACCGATTAATTGTTAAGTAAGATAGTAAAACAATATACATAATACATTAAGCTTAATTTTTTTTAAGTATCTATACTTGGACTTCTTTGCTTGACTATTTTTTTTAATAATTCTTATATATGTATAAGTGTTATCTAATGCCGATTTCTTGGAGTACCGAGACATTCACATGGAACTTTGTCAACGACACACCGAACAATCTTCTCCAACACCACATCTATTATTTTCTTCACATCACCGTCTTCTAGTTAACCGCTACCATGTCCTTCGTCATATGCATTCCCTTTTCATTATTTATAGGTATATGTATTTTCTGACTACTGATTTCAGGTTTACTAACAAAGTATCCGACGTATTCGGCCCGATGTTGTTCTGCTATTATCTTTACCATCAGACAAGCGGTTGTTTACTGCTGCTGGAGTGTTCGCAAATGGTGTGTTTTTACTGTTTTAATCTAACAACTAATTTCCCTCATCAACCTATTTCAAAAGTATTTTCCGTTTAAGTCCTCATTCTTACACAAAATCTCTTCAGTTATGTTTCTGCCATATGTGTTAGAAAATAAAGACGAAGAATATAGTGAGATCAACTGATGGCAAGCTATCAGTGCTGTTTGTAAACATTCCTGCACTACATTAGGATCTACAAGTGTTTTGTCAGCCTTTTGAAAGATGTAACGCGGTTTGGTCCTCCTATAACCTCAATCATACCGAGAAACGTAACGCGAGCTGGTATTCTGTGAGATTATGGTATCACTCCGGCCGAGGTGACCTATTCGTGAAGATTGGCTCTCTTACTGTACTTGTAACTTAGACTGTTTATTTATATGCTTACTTAAATTTACAGGATGCTATTAAAAATATATCTATTTTGATTTGTTGGAAGCAAGTGATCTGTTATACAAAAGTTTCTAGTGAAATTGTAAATAAATTTTCTAACTGCATTTTAAATAATTTTATTATATATTTCAGACGGCGCCAGCTCTTATGCGATACTTACCCCTGACATTAATGTCAACGCAGCAACTAATTCAATTATCAGTAATTTTTGAACTAGTCGGAAGTGAGGTAAATTAATCGGTTTTATCCTTTTGTTATTCACCCAATTTTACTTCATTTTATTCAAATATAGACTTATTGTTGTTAAGGATTAAATCCATAACTGAAAGTTCGACCTGACTAAAGAACTGGAGCTAGAAGTATAAAGTGTTTATTATTTTTTTAATATTGCAGAGCGAAAAAATTCTGAGCGCTGTGTACAGTATACCATGGGAATGTATGGACACAAGTAATAGAAAGTTTGTTTCATTCTTCCTAATGAATGTTAGAGAGCCAATACATGTTAAAGCTCTGGGTATTGCCAATGTTGGCGTCATGACTATGGCAGCGGTGAGTTGTTTAGTTCTTTTAGTCTTTGAGTTGTTGTTGTGAATGTTTACAGTCATTATAATTATCTGAGATCTCTTTGCATGCGATAAAATGGTACCTTATCTCCCGAGCGTCCGGCGCTTAGCGTTCTGCGTGCGCCTCAAAGGGCTAATAGACCACTACAGACGGGGCCCTATAGGGCTGATGTTCAGCCGAGGTTGTGGGGTAAGCGCAATGAGGCACTGTGACCTCGGCCCAGAGCAGGAAAAGGCACGGAAGGTTTTTAATCAGTAAGAGTCCGACTCTCCCTTCCTTCCCGAACCTGAGCGGGAGAAGTCAAAGGAAAGTGAAAGTGGAAAGTGGAGCAAGAGGGAGCGTCAGTCTCACTGACTAAAAATCACTCCCTACCTTCTTCGCTTTATCCACACACCCAGCCAAACAGGTCTTGTCTTCGACTATATTCAGATCTTCAATGAAAACTAATTTTAATTTTTGTTTCAGATATTGAGGACTTCGTTGTCTTATTTTACCTTTTTACGCAGCATTTGAATCAGTTATAAAATATTATTATTCACTGACCAAATCTATTTTTCCTTCAAAAATGTTTACTTACGTATTACAAATAAAATGATTTTGAAAACGTACTGTCTTTTTTTTGTTATTCGTTTAATAAAATCTGAATTTAACTATTTACGAATTTTAATCGAGATTGCTACTTCTAGATGCAAAAAACAACATTTTATATCGTATTCGCTGTTTTTAGAGTAGGAAATGAGAGAACCCATCAATCCACCTATCCACCCATCAAGCAATCATTGGGGAGCCCAAGAAAGACAATACAGAAAAGGAAATGCCTAGTATTCGGTTCAATATACCCTTCATACATCTAATGTACTTAGTGGTTTAAAACAGTGGGATCCTGGGTTACCTCACTTGGGCAACCTCACATCAAAGAAACCTTACTTAAACCTTCACTGAAACAATGGTTTCTTACTTAAACCTTCCAGTATCGTGGAGCGCATACACTATCAATATCTATCAGAGTCGTGGACTAACAAAAATAAATTTTAATTAATATAACATCAAATAAATAAAATACTAATTTTGTAGTACTTATAATAACATCAAATAAATAAAATACTAATTTTGTAGTACTTATAATAACATCAAATTTAACATGTATTGTACTTATTGAATCTAATTTATTCAATTTTCTAATTAATTCCTGAATTGTATCTGATTTATTGCTTTCTTAATGATTTTGTTATTTGTTGCCAAAGATTTTTTTTTAATTATTTGAAATTGTCTACCGTTTATGTTTTTGTGCACGTGGTGTTAGCCTATAAGTAATTGTTACATTTGGTACTATCAATATTGTTTGCTAATTGTCCAAGTAAAGTGTAAATAATTTTTGGGTAACCTAAATAAATAAATAAATAAATAAATAAATAAATAAATAAATAAATAAATAAATAAATAAATAAATAAATAAATAAATAAATAAATAAATAAATAAATAAATAAATAAATAAATAAATAAATAAATAAATAAATAAATAAATAAATAAATAAATAAATAAATAAATAAATAAATAAATAAATAAATAAATAAATAAATAAACAAATAAGTAAATAAACAAATAAATAAATAAATATTGAACAATTTTAAAGCACTTTTGATTCCCTCTTTCCCCACTGAAGAAAGAAATGTCATTTTTGCGTTCTATTACCTACCAACTCTTCAAAATCCAGTAGGTCCCTACGTCGCTTGACTAACTGCAAATTTAACAAACTCGGTATATTTTTGTTTTTGTTGTTTCCGTACTATTGTGTTCGAGTTCAAATATAGTTGTCTCTTTTATTTTCCAATAATTCTTATTATTAACACGAAGTTCTACAATATTTTATAGTTCCTAGAAGTTATGTGCAACATAATCCTACTATGTAGTAAGTAGATTAAATTATAAGCTTTTCATACTTTTGTCAAGGTTAAGTAAAATGAAAGTATAGGCTAAATATCAAATAATAAAAGACCGAATTCGGTCTCATATTATTTTTAATAACATTTACTTTGGTTTTCTAATGAAAAGAAACAAATAATAGGTACATAATATAGTGCGTGCTTATCTGTGCTTTATTATACAGGTTGTTGGAGAATAACGTTAAACAAAATAATATCATACTCCGTCAATTTCTTGCAACGGTTTTCTTCTGACTAACTTTACTATTTTCTCCTATGATTATTAGAGAGCTAAATCATTTTTCCCAAATGTATCATACAACTAGCTTCTTCCAGCGACTCTTTTCTTTTTTTTATGTAATAGCTCAGCAAACGAGCAGACGGATTACCTGATGGTAAGCAATCAGCGCCGCCCATGGACACCCGTAACGGAGGAGTTACGAGTGCGTTGCCGACCTTTTAGGGATTAGGGATTTGGAGGTTTAGGAACTGGGGAGGGATTAGGAAGGAGAAGGATTGGGCCTCCGGTAAACTCACTCACACGGCGAAACACAACACTGTTGTTGTTTCACGCCGGTTTTCTGTGAGGCCGTGGTATCACTCCGGTCGAGCCGACCCATTCGCGCCGAAGCATGGCTCTCCCACACTAATTTTTCACAGAACTAAGGCAAAAAGAAGCCGATGCCGATTATACCAGACTTATTTTACTTATTTTAATTAATTATTTACTTGAATAGTACTACTCAACTTTTAGGTATGATATACTTAAAATAGTCACATAAGAAAAAAAAGAACAAAATGTATAAAATGTTATTACTGTATTCACTTGTCTACCTCACAAAACTGTGGGCATTCCGACATGATCTTTGCCTGTTGCAAATTTCATTTAGATCCTTTCAGTAGCCAGTAGTTCAGTAGTAGTTAGTATTAAAAACAACATTATGTCTAACAGTTTTTGGCACACCTTGTATCATTTTTAAAATAAAAAGAATTCAAATACCAAAGCATTGATTGTCTGATCAGACTTGACAGTAAAGACTTCGAACATTATTTATTTAATTTTCATTTAGACGTTGTATATTTCACAGTACTTACTACTTTCTAGTACTTACTACTTTTACTTCTTTAACAAAATAAAATATTTAATTGTGCCTCATTTAATTTTAATACTTCTATTCTTGTGTAAAGAAAGAGAAATATTCTGCAGGATATTTTCTTGAGTACATCTCTTCTTTGCTCTCAAAAATGGGTCTTAAAAAGTTTCTTTTTGAAAATGAAGCAGTAAAGTAAGTAGTTCTTAATTTAATTTTCAAAAATATGCGTTACGTGTGCCAATAAGTACTATTTACTTGTAGGGGTCTGAGATAATTTTTTATTGAACGGAATATCATTTAAATACTACTGCTATCCAGGGCGGGGGGAAGAGGAGGAGTCTTTAATTGATTAAAAACCCTATCTTTCCTTTTCTGCTCCAGGCTGCAGTTCAACAAATCGAGTTCCTAAGGGTTCATATTCTATAATATTTTGTTTACAGCGGCATCAATTCTCCCTCTGATTACCTTTACGTTAAGATGTTACGCTTTACTCTGCGTATCATTGCTTCTTGGCCTCAGAAAGAACTGGGAGAGAATGAACCTGTGGCCTTCAATATATTTCTTAAATATTTTTACTTGTTGGCTGCTAGTGGCTGCCAATTTGGTTCAACTTTTTATCTCAGAACGTATAACAGTGAACTTAGTTTTTTGGAAGCTGGTCATACTTATCTCATGATTATGATGACTTTTATCGATATTGTGAGTACAATACAATTATTTTTTCCTTTTGGCTTTCATTTATAAGTTAACACGCAAATTTCTAAAGCTTCTATTTGTGACTTATCTTTTTATAGTTAATTATTTATAGGTATATACAGTCCATAAAATGTTATATGTCAAACATAAAATCTCTGTAATTTATAATTACTTATGTCTTAAATTTATTTTTATTTTATTACAGTCAAGGATCGTAACGCTGACATTTTCCCAGAAATACAGGAATGTGACTCAAGAATTTCTCACAAAAATTCATCTATTTTACTTCAAAGATAAATCTGAATACGCTATGAAGGTAATGTTTAGCATACATTATATTACTGGTTCTTGTTAATCCTATTTGAGTAGCATTTTTAAAACATACTCATGATGGTGGATATCTTTCCTACACGCACGAAGCGGTTCGCCTCCAGTTTTATTATCAGAACCTCTAAGGTGTGGAATTCTTTGCCGGAACCTATTTTTCCCGAAGGTCATAATCTAGGTCTTCCAGGCCCGAGTGAATAGGTGCTTCATCGTAGGCTGCATCAGGCGTGCTTACAACCAAATACCAACTCATTACTAAACTACAAAGAAATCTCCATATTTTCTAATTGACAGTTCCATACCAAGTTGTATCTCAAAGGTTCGAGTGCATAGTTATGTTTTGTACGGGCAAGATACTTCATCGTAGGTTGCATAGTCAATTATCATCAAGACAGTTAACAAAGACCAGATTATTGCAATAAAAAATAATATAATATTATGGGTATTTAAAAATAGACTTACAGCCATTTTATTTATTATTTTCAAAGTATGAATTCCAAATAATTTACCCTTATAACTTATAATGACTTCATTGTTTTAGACACACAAACGGGTCCACTTTATATCTCATCTGTTTACACTATATTTAATATCACAAATGTTATTTGGTTTGTCTTGTTTCAATCTGATTCCAATGTACAATAACTATGTGGCTGGACGATACAAGAGTGGAGGGACACTGAATTCAACTTTTGAACACTCTCTCTATTACAAGTATCCTTTTGATACCCTTACTGATATGAAAGGGTATATCCTAGCAAATGTGATTAATTGGTAAGTCGTTATTTCTGCATTCATTCTGATGAATTATAACATAATTGTCACATTTGAATTCCCGAAGATGTAGGCAAAAGTGTAGGATAGTATAAGTATAATAGTGTAGGTGTGAGTATTAGGTGTGGGAGAGCCAAGCTTCGGCACATACGACGGCCTCAAAGAAAAAGGGCTTGAAACAACCAAAACGTTTTGTTTAGCCGTTTAAAGTGAGATGACCGCAGACCAATCCCTAAATCTTCGCATCCCTAATCCCCAAAAACCCTACAACGCAGTCGTAACTTGTCTTGTGTTTCTAGTGTCCATGGACGGCGCATATTGCTTACCATCATGCTATCCGACTGCTTGTTTGCCCTATCAAGTAAAAACCTTTCGTTCCTTTTCCCGCTTCATGGCCGTAGGCGCGGCACATCATTGCAATTACACCTGCAACCGTGGTTTTTTTTCCTTTTGGCAGGGAAAAATCATCATATGACTTCTCCCGCCCAGGGTTAGGCGAGAGAGAGTGCCAGACTCGACTGACTAAAAACCCCCCCTTTCCTTCTCCTGCTCTGGGCCGAGGCTGCGGTGACACATTGCGCTTAACCCGCAACCCCGGTTAACTTTCGAATTAAGCACATACTCGTATAGTAGCGCAAGACTTAAGGAATTTATACTTTCTCTTGTTCTGTTTTCAAATTTAGGTTATTTAGCTACTGATATCATATAAAATTTGTTTACCTATTGGTTTTTAAATATACACACACCAATCTGATCAGTATTCGGTCACTTATATCAGTTTTCTGTTTCAGGATATTGTCATACCTCTGTGCTACTTGGTTCTGCGTGTTTGATCTCTTACTATCCTTAATGGTTTTCAATATTTGGGGTCATTTGAAAGTGCTTATTCACACTTTAAACAATTTTCCCAGACCACGACAGGAGACTAGTTTTACATTAAGTGAAGGTTTAACAGTGATTAGCGCAAAATATTCAGAAGAAGAACTTGTAGAAGTTTCAAAGAAGTTAACAGGATGTGTTGATTATCACCGGATGATTGTGAAGTAAGTTTACGTAACAATGGCTTAAGAAGCGAAATGACAACTTACCAAAAATAATTTTTATTGTTAAAAAAGATGCCTATGACGAAATTCAAAACAAAAAGTATTTTAACAATATGGCAAAGGATTTTCTCTGTTATTGCATATAGAAGGCTCACGAAAAGGTTCAAATTGGCAAAATAAACACGGCTATGAATTTATCCAATAGTTTTCTTCCCAAATACGCCTAAAATAACTCTGAACTGATTTCAGATTTACAAACAAAGTATCAGATGTATTTGGACCCATGCTGTTTGCATATTACATATTCCACCAGACGAGTGGATGTTTGTTATTACTAGAATGTTCTCAAATGGTCAGTATTGAGTACCACAGTTCATTTTTAAAATTGCTACCGTCAGGAACTGCTTACAAATTTCACGGTTGAATAATCAAATCGCATGGAAGCGATCCATTCAAATCGCGGTAGCGCCTTTATAATTTTTCTAATCTATGTGTGCATAATGTTCATGTAGAGATATGGTTGAATTTCTTGCCTATGTTAACAATTAAATGTGCCTGTTTCTTATCCATATGGCAGATACCAATGTGACTTTATTCGAGTAATATAATATATAAGAATTATTCACAACCTCTATTCTAATTATTAGGAATGTCTTGTAACATCATCAAAAAAAAACCTAATATTTTTTTTTTATTCTTGTATGTACTACAACAACAGTATTGTATTTCCTCAGTGATATAGTAATTTTTAAATCATTCTATTTCAGACGGCGCCAGCTCTTATGCGTTATTTACCACTTACAATAATACTGACTCAGCAACTGATCCAGCTGTCTGTTATTTTTGAACTCATTGGAAGTGAGGTAAACCTACTGAAAACTGTTAATGACTGTTTTTTTTTTCAAATATTTTTCATTTGCTTAATCCAACTAACAAACCTGTCAACCGAACCTTTTATAATTCGGGCTACCATTTTTGCTGACCAGGTGGCGCTAGTGTGGACCTCATGTATTTCCAATAGCCAGTCACGCCATTCAATGTTTACATTATACAGCCACAATGATTGGATAAATTTGACTTCTCTTTAGATTAGCGCACTCTGCTGGACAGAAAACGGTCGCCTTGATTCCATTTGGAACTAGCAACTAACTAAAAAGGTTTCATTAAAATAATCGTAGAAAATATTTTATTTCTTCTTCTTTATATAAATTTATGTTTTAGAGTGAAAAGGTCCTAAACGCCGTGTATAGTGTGCCATGGGAATGTATGGATCCTAAAACTAGAAAAATGTTGGCCTTCTTTTTAATGAACGTTAGGAAGCCAATACATGTGAAAGCTCTTGGTGTGGCTAACGTTGGAGTTACTTCTATGGCTGCAGTAAGTTTTTTAATTCATTTTATCGCATATTATATAAGTTTTTTTTGATATGGAAAAACAAAATTGGCGAATTTCACATCGGTTTGAAGTCCGACCAGAACAATTATTTGTGAAACAATGAATTTATTTTTGCAAATCCAAACTAATATTATTAATGCGAAAGTAACTCTGTCAGTCTATTGTTTCTTTACGCCTAAACTACTGCACCGGATTCTGTGAAATTTGGTACAGACATAGTTTGGAACTCGAAAAAGGACATAGGATAGTTTTTATATCAAAAATCTGCAGGAAGTCACTATTTCACGCGAACGGAGTCGCGGGCAAAAGCTAGTAGGCCATGAAACGGCACTTTTACACGTCAAATTATAATTATGTAAAAAACTAGATGAAGCCGTATGATTCTCAAACTTTTTCTGGTCTGACTGTGACGTATAATATATAAGTGACATTGTATGTTCATGAACACACCTACAAAACAGGAGGAAGGTTTTATTTAAATGAATTATATATTATTTAAATTAAAACAATAGTTTTTAAATCATATTTTTTCTTTTTGCAGATTTTAAAGACTTCACTTTCCTATTTCACATTTTTACGTAGCATCTGAATGGAGGGATTTTAAAATTAGAACAGAAACTAATAAATTCGTAAGATTACTCGTATGACACATTTATTGTATTGCAAATATCTTTTTTATTAATTAGAATAATACGATACAGAATAAGTACCTACACGTTTCAGTATTTATTTTACGCAAAAAAATTTATCTACACAGATTAAATTAATAATCGCATCTAATCAAAAATCTAAATAATCTAAATCGCAAAAACATTTACAATCTGCTTCTTTCAATTGTGTTCTTAGAATAAATTCTTATATATTTTTATTTAAATAAATAAATAATAAAAAGTTTATTTTAAAAGAAAACTGTTGTTTTTTTTATTCGACTTCCAAAAAGGAGTATGGTTCTCAATTCGGAAGAATATATGCTTTTTTTTAATTGTTTAAAAAAACTAAGCATCAGTAACATAATCCACTATAGAACCTTATTAAGGATTAATAGCTTGTGCAACTCTTGCATTGCATCGTCTAGAAAAATATCTTCTAACGTGCAACGCTTCTCGGAAAATACCTTCATCTATCCCCCGATCCAAGAAAATATTTCTACACAATGAAGTTCTGCAACAAATATTTTATATTTTCATTCTGAATGTACATTATTAAGTTAGTTATTTTATGTAATACTAGCGACCCGCTCTGGCTTCGCATGGATTTTTTTTTTTGTGAGGGGAAAACCATCAAATGACTTCTTCCGCCCAGGGCCGGGCAGGAGGGAGTGTCAGACTCTTACTGACTAAAAACCCCCCCGTTCCTTCTCCTGCTCTGGGACGAGGTCGCAGTGCCTCATTGCGCTTACCCCGCAACCCTGGCTGAACATCAGCCCTATAGGGCCCCGTCTGTGGTGGTCTATTGGCTCTTTGAGGCGCCCGCGGAACGCTACGCGCCGCACGCTCGGGTCTGGTTCTGTTCGGGCGGCGAGCTACCCTTACACGCCGACCGCAGACCCGCGCTTACGGTGGCCGGAGATCGTCCCTTGATCTCCGACGCCCGTAGTGTCGCCTGTTGCGGCAGCTGAGGCGTGAGGAGGAGGATTGCTCCCTTACGCGGGCCGCCTCCCTGTGCAGTGCTGATATTAAATTTCTCCACTATTTAGTAGATGTTATGCCTACATAATATTAAACTTCCTCTTCAATCATTCTATCTATGAACAAAAGATGTTGCTTAGTTTAGGACAGAAAAAGTGAAATTGTTTTAAAGGTACTATTTGGAGATTTAAATATTTAGTTTATAACCAATTTCTTTGTCGTACAAATCGAATAAATAAGTCCGATTATTTTTAAGAGTTTTTAAAAATTTGTTTATATACTACTAGCTGGTCTCGCGCGGTTTCACCCGCTGCTCGGCCCCATTAAATCGTAGCGTGATTTTACAGCCTATAACACTCAAGAACATTGCAGCTATCTATCAGCGAAAGAATTTTGGCAATCCGACTAGCGATTCCAAAGATTACCCCCTACATACAAACTTACAAATTTTACCTCTTTATAATATTAGTAAGTATAGACTTGTATCACCCAATCAAAAAAAAAAAATGATTTTAAGATTTTTTCTCAGTTATTATTCCTCAATTGTCATTCTGCATTCTCATGGTAAGCCTCAGAATACAGAACAAACCAGAAGGCGTCATCGCGCTTCAAACTGTAGCAACTAAAACCACTCATAACTGGAGTAGTATGAAATTTCTACGATCAGTCAATTTTGGCACGTGGCATGTCGTGACGTATTTACGAGTATCAATTTTAATTTAATTATGCCGTCTTGTGTTATTCCTACGAGTAAAAATACGGCTGGAATTACGAAAAAAGTGAATAAGATTACATTTCATCTGCAAGCATCGACTGCAATAGTGTATTTAATTAATTATTGAATTTTTTTTATCGATTTATTTTTCTATGAAAATGATGCGGCCATTTTGTGAGTGTTGTCATTTTTGGTGAAAATTTAACCCACTTATTTATTTGTTGTGAGTTATATTTTTTTCCATTATGCCTAGCCTATGTCATGCTAGTTTCCCTGCCGACTAACAAAAAAAATAAAAGTCATACAAAGGGCACGGTTAGATTAATTTTGGAAACCATCTAGCCAGAGCATAGTTGGCTCAAATCACTTTGAAGAGATAAATTTATAAAAAAGGTGGTTTGAAAACAGCATTTCCTACTAAGATATATCTACATATACTACCTAATTATAATGCTGAAGAGTTTGTTTGTTTGTTTGTTTGCTTGAATGCGCTAATCTCAGGAACTAAGTAAAGTAAGTAGACTTCTAATCTTTAGTTCCGAGTCTAAAGACAATACATATTATAAAAAAACTAAACCCGCAAAAGGGAACGCAATAAACCTTCGCACTTATTGAAGCTTTGTTTTATTTGTTGTGTAAAGGTGTAACTAAAATTAACACAGCCAGAAATCGTCAACTTTTATGATACCTCCATGACATGTGTGAACAACTAGTCTATTGCATTTATCGTAAATTTATTTATAAATAAAATAAAATAAATTTATAAATTTATTCAATAATATCTTACCCTCCTGTTGTAAAATTACCCCAAACCAAGGGAATTGTTCCACTGTCGGCAACACTACGCGGGTGGGAAGTGCGGCTGGCGGGGGGATTGACGTATTGTTTTTGGACACATTTGACGACATGTAATTAGGAGTGAACGCGGATTCTGGTTTGTTCTGTATTCTGAGTGGTAAGCAAGGATTACATCCAATATGGATTAAGTACAGAGACAGTATTTTATTTTGGCTACTGAACCGACCAATGGTTACAAAATATAAATGTGGTTTCATTAAAAACCATACAAATTTTTGTAATGATAGCTATTAAGTCTGTCTGTATTGAGTCAATATTTACTTGCTAAATGACTTCTCTCTCCCAGGATAAGGCAAGAGAGAGAGTCAGACTCTGAAACTCATCCGCTCTTTGGATACCGTGCTAAAAAAAGTGCCTATTCAAAAAAAATCCAAAAAAATATGCTTAAGAACATATATTTTTGTGATATGTTAAGTCCAATATAATTTACTTAGCGTAACATTATTATAGTTCACGTACCTATCTAAGCCTTCGTGGAAAATTTATATGGAAAAGTACGATAATGACAAGACATTGAAATACAAAATCTACTGATACATTTGATCAAAAGGATATTTTATTAGTTTTATCGTTCTGTGAAAAACTTATTTCTGTGTAGTAATTGTATTATAACCTTATTTGTAGAAATAGTATGAAAGTTCTTCGAAATAAGTCCATTAGTTTCTTTCAATTATGATCACAAATGTTAAAGAGAAATATGATAAGTAATTGTTGCGGTCATTGTCGTGACGAAATTTAAGTCGAATTTTATTGTGAACTAGTGGCTCGTCTAGCTTGACGCGTGTTAAACTATTTCGCTAATAACGAAAAGGTCACTCTTCCCAATCTTCCCCTTTATTTTCCCCTATATTTTCTTTAATAAAAACCTTCTCTTGACAATAATAAACTCAACACAAAAAGAATAGACAAAATCGGTAGATTTTTATAATTGTCTAGGTATATACCAACATAATAAAAATAAAATAAAATAAAATTTATTTCAAATTAATTACGCCGTATATTCTACATTATAACTATAAGGCTTATCTTAAAAATAAAACAGCACAAATAAACATGCAAAATTTTATTCCCATAACATTGAGAATTATAAATCACCATGATGTATTTAAAAACTAATTTTATCCACATTAAAAATAAATACATTTATATTTTCATGCTAAATTTGTTAAAAAGTGACCTTTTAACATTATACCGTCATGTTAAATTTATCCTAATTTTAACAAAAAAATCTATAAACATTTGTTTAAAAATATAATAAAAATATTGCAGCTATATTATGGCATATTATTAATATCTGTACCTAAAATTATTTTTCCTGAATATTTTGTTCAGGAACTTATCTATAACATCTTCACGTAATTAAAAAGGGAATGTTAATGTATCCTTCAAATTATTTTTTTGTAAATTATTTTGTATTTTAGCCGAATTTGCAAAGTTTTATTTTACAATTTATAAAATTATTCAAATGGAGACTGATTTTAAAATAACAGTGGTGGCAAAAATATTAGCCCAATATAAACATTTTCATTTTACTCTTTTAAATCAGTGAATAATATAGTTCTTTCCCATATTAAATAGAAAAGCAAAAAAGGCCTTGTTAAAAAGTAAAACGAAATAATTTACAATTTCTGTTGTCAGGAGCAAAACGAATGCCATCCATAAATGAACTGTTTAAAGTCTATTTTACGTTGTGTTTCACATTGTTAAACTACTACATATAAACATAAATGTATATATCAAAAGTTGTAATTTATCGCCCCATAATAATTCTCGTAGGATTAAATCGTGAAGATATTTTGTAAAATGTATTTATTCTACTCATGAAAGCTGACATGTTTTACTATATACAAAAAATAGATTGAACTCGAAAAGTTAGCCAACCAACTACAAGATTAGCAAAAATGTTTTCTAGTCTAAGATTACAATTACTAAGAAAATGCCCGTTTTGGGAGAAAATATGAATTTTAAATATAATATCGCTTAATAGTAACATTTGTAGATTTTTTAATAGATCAATGCATTATTTCTTTAAAAAAATAAGCAAATTCACACATCTTATTGAATTATAAGAAATAATCTCCATCAATACCGATAGATGGCGTTATTGTAAATCTCGTTACATTCGAACTAAATTGACTTTCTTGAATTATTCATTTACTTCTAAAAGCAAACTTCTAATTAATATACCTATTCTTAAAATTTAGAAGCATTTAAACTCCTGATTTGTTTGATGATCTTAAATGATAACCTCAATTACAATCATTTTTATCTAATTGTAAAAGGAAATTTTTTTTAGGTATCCTCCCAATTCTATTCTCATTCATTTTACAATAACAAAAAATCTAATTACGAAACATTTACAATAGGTACCTATTTATCTCAAAAGTAAAACATTTACTTTAATTGATTAATTTCTCATTTCCATCCATTCCTGTCCTTAACTGTAACGATAAATTTTTCTTAGCTCAATTTTGTATTTCTTTAGCAACAGGCCTCGCATCTAACTAGGCCCACTTCATCACAATTCATGCACTTAAGAGCCACGAATTCCGCTGTGAAATGGTTCCTGTGGAGGCTCTTCTTGGATCCATTGCAGATCCTGCAGGGCAGGAGACGGAATCCACCACACATTTGGCAGGTGTTACACGCATCTGGACTCTGTAATTTAGAAAATTATAATGTTAATAGAGTTGTATTTTTTTTAGTTTTTTTATGGAGCAGGTCGTGAGGCGTGCTTACGGATTAACTTATGTATGGTAAGTTGTTCGCGTCGCCCATGGACTGGACGAATCTGAGAATTTGATGGAGGTTCGAACGATTGGTATTTTAGGGTACTTGGGAAATTAGAGAATCGGGGATCAGGGAAAGGGAACGAAATTATTTTGTTCCTCAAGACCTTTTTGCGGTAAATTCAAACTATGCTTATTTTTTGTCTTTCTTTACTGTATTTTAAACTGTTTATATTATGAATACAATAATAATACATTTTTATAAGTAGAAATAGCATTGTCATATATACATATATTTCATTCTACAAAAAATACATGACTAAACGTTTTTTTTTTACATTTTTAAGCATAAGTAAATACTACGATTATTTTCGCTCGGCATTTAAATATGTATGTATGTGTGTGACCTTTAGGCAAAAAAAACCTAAAGTTAAGAACAATCGTCAAAATCGCCTTATTCTTCTTACTTAGACTATCTACTAAGACAGGTAAACAGTTTGTAACAGCATGTCGGTCTGAGGATGCACGTCCGGTATACATACGTCAAGTCTTTTGTCACCTACATAATACCTATATATGTTATTTTATGTTTACATGACTCTTTTTAAAATATGAAGTTCATAGTAACTTGGTCTTGACCCAATTTATCAAGTTCGAATTGGTCTGAGAAAAAGTCATTATATTCATAAACGATGTTCGCTTCCTATTTTAAATTCAAAAAGTTTTTCTTTTAGTTGTTGGTTTTGTTAAAACGTCAAAATAGGTAAACAACACAGACTCAAATTAAAAATTTCGAGTTGATTAGGTAGTTAAATTATGCTAGTAGGTATTTATTTCAAGACACATTGTATTTGTTATAAATATTATCACAACATAGGTAGTAGAAAACTAACTTGGTTTTAACGTCTATGTATATGGTTTAATTTTTAAAACTACGCAACGGATTTTGATGCGGTTTTTTAATAGATAGAGTGACTAATGAGGACGGTTTTCATTTAAATAACATCTTCTTAATACTAGAGAAATAAAGTATCCGCTCTCGTGCGGCCGTGTCGCTAGTAAGTAATATAATATGGTCTAAAGTACATACCCAGTATCTAACACTCTATTGGATGTTCGAATAAACAAATGGCTTGAATGATGAAAAGTGTTTAGTATTTGTTATTAATATATAAGCACATTAATAACTGATTTATTCTACACTAGCTTTTGCTCACCACTTTGTTCTCGTGGAATAGTGACTTGCTGCGGATTTTTGGTGTAAAAACTATCCTATGTCCTTTCTCGAGTTCCAAACTATGTCTGTACCAAATTTCACATAAATAGGTCCAGTAGTTTAGGAGTAAAGAATAGACCGACAGACAGACAGAATTACTTTCGAATTTATAAGTATTTATTTAAATCTTGGATTTTTATTCTACTTTAATAAAAATAAAAACAACACCATTTTTTATTTAAATTAAGAAGCAAATGTCGTATTTTAAATACAATACTTAAATTAATCTCTCAAATAATACAAGTACAAATACTCCTCAATTTGTATTGCATCAATCACGGAAAACAGTAATGTTTTAACGTAATGAAACACACGTTGAAAGGTCAAGACAACAATGTACACGGAGGGTTCAACAAAGGTCATATACAACAAGTATTCACAATTTCAATCTTCGTTTCCGACCGTCAATTGAACCTGTTCTTCAATGGCAGCCTTCAAGTCACCTTTATCAAATTTAACACCTAACGCAATAATTTACGATAAGCATGTACAAATATTATGAAACTAAATTTCGTTATTGCTTCGTTTGTTGAGGTTGGTGGTATGTAAGACATGATTACAAATTAACTATTTATTTGGTCGTCAATCAGAAACATTTTATCTACAAGCTAAAACAGTTTTATACTAGCCCAGAGGTGAGGCGCAATGCTAATGCTATACATTTCTCAAATATAAACCTTCTTTACATATAAACCTTCTTCTTCAATCTATCGATTAAAAAAATCCGCATCAGAATCAGTTGCGTAGTTTTTAAGATTTAAGCATACATAGGGACACAGAAAGCAACTTTGTTTTACACTATGTTGTAATGAATATACACTTTTTGAGCAATTGAACTGAAGTGTTGTACACATGTTTAGTTTGTAGGTTTGACCATAAATGTGAAAAATAGCAGGTAGCAGTATAATGTACCCTGGCCGTAGCCTGGAGCAGAATAGAGGACGGGATGGTTTTTGGTCAGTAAGAGACTAATCCTAAATCTAGCTCCACCCAGAGCGAGTTGTAAGTGTGTAAGTAAGGTGAAAGCTATCTCCGCTCAAATGGAAGAAGAAAAGAAAAAAGTCTTGGTACTTATTAATCCATGTCATAGCTCCATTTAATATGAACCACCTGCAGTTCTCTGCTTAAGGTTTCTATTGAACCGCGCGCGCCTCAAAGAGTCAATGGACCACCACAGACCGACCGGGGCCGTATAGGGCTGATGTTCAGCCGGGGTTGCGGGTTAAGCGCAATGAGTCACTGCGGCCTCGGCCCAGAGCAGGAGAAGGAAAGGGGGGTCTTTTAGACAGTAAAATTCTGTCACTCTCTCTCGCTTAACCCTGGGCGGGAGAAGTCATTTGATGAATTACCCCTGACAAAAAAAAGGTTTCTATTGAAAGACGGAAAACAAAAAGATTCCCATATATCTACGTCAAGATGACATTTCTATTTGGAAATATGTATATCTAATAAATACATGTTTGGTAATTTATACACGCATGTATAAGTACCTACGTCAATGTTTCATTATAAAATGTCGTAATTGGTTCGCGGTAAACATTCTTGCATAAAACCGAAGTTGTGAATTTTGCAATTATGTATTATTTTCTTTTCATCATAAAAATTCTTTGTCAACGGCCTGTCACCATTTTGTTAAAAGGTGATTGGTGGAAAGATAACATTGATTGATGAATTATAATTTAGTTAAGTTTTTTTTTTACTTTTATTACAACTTCTTCCTCTGGTACTGTTCTCACATAATCGAAGTGTTTGTATAAGAAATCTGTATGTGAAACTGATTTAAAAAGAGTAACCATGGAGTTTCTTGCTCGTTCTTCTCCATCGGAATCTACACTTTGGAACGAGAAAATAGCTTCACTAATAAGACTGACCGACAGACTGACACTATATCTTCAAAATTTTGTTTGACGTTCAAAAGTGCCTGTAAAGGTCTAAATGGAATAAATGATTTTTGACTTTTGACTTTTGGTATTTGGCCTTCAAGTAACGTTATCGATTGCATCGACAATTTATTACATTCCATATCTTTCTCAAACTTTTACGAGTATCATTCTTTGTCGCCATAAATAGCGAACAATACCTATCATCTGAACTTTTCCATCCAAACTTTCTTTACGTTATATTACTGAGAAAAATGTTCCACGAACAAATGAAAAATGCCATCGTCTAAAATGACATAGTTGGTGTATTAGAAAGTGGACCTTCAGTTTAGTATATTTCTTGTTTGTTTGTATCTATGATAGATAGATGAAAACATTATAATTTGAGGAGTTTTTTGAAAATGGAATTTCCTGTTCGTTCTTTTCTATTCGAATCTACATTTCGCGTCAAGCATCTATCTTCACTGACGGATATTATATTTTTGATGTTCCAAAAGTGTGCTCAAAAGTAATTTAGTTAAAATAAAATGATTTAGGATTTTTGCTGTTGTATAAACAAAATTGAAAGGTTGGTTTCAGCATCATCATCAACGGATGGTAGAAGTCGATGATCGACGTCACTATAACCATTTATAAATGAGAGGGTTTGCCAAAATCTCTATAATCTATAGAATTTTAGATCGCAGTATAAAAGGACAGTGGCTGGGCAGCTGGCTTCTATTTAATGTGTTGTGGGTAGGGCATCGAGAACCGGTCCTATTTTAGGAACCGGTTCTTTCGGTTCTAAATTCAAGACGGAACCGGGTACCCGGTTCTTTCGGTTTTTTTCATAAATTCTATTTGAAAAGTGTCTAAACAAAAAACACTTTATTGGTACAAATATTTATATATTTTTTGAGTTATACTCAAATTAAAACATCGTTTTTAACTATTTTTGGCAACAATCAGTTCTTTAAAATTCAGTATTTTCACAAACAATGCATATTGTTTACGCAATGCAGCCACCATTTTATGGCTCAGATGAGTGTTCATTTCAAGCAATTTTTTTATTGCAAATTTGACGGAATATCAGCTGTAAGCAATGTTGCATCACGGCGACATAGTGCCTCGACGACAGTTTTTATTATGTCCAATATATTAATTAACTCGTGTATATGTCTCCAGTCATCGTCAGTAAACTGAATATCAATATTCAAATCTATTACTGGTTTTGTGATAGATGTTTTTATTTTTAGAAAACGGCCTAACATAGTGGCCATGCTCCTCCAGCGAGTCTTCCCATCTAAAAGGAGAGAATACTCCTGTCCAAAATCAGATTTAACATACTTTTGAAGAACGTCATCATTTTTAGTCGGGGACTTTTTGAAAAATTTTACCCCTTTTCGTACCTTAGCTATAAGCTGATAATAGCTAAACGATTGTGGTGGTAAATATGCTATTTTATTCAGCACCATCGTCTTTATCGTTGTTATTTTCACCATCATCAGTTTCGTTACTTAATTCGCCCCTTCGAATTCTTAAAGATGTGTCGAACTAAACAAAATGGCGTCAGCGCGTCTACCTGTGTTGCCAGATTGTTTAGATAGGTCTACAGTTACCACCGAAATTCAAATAGTCGTACGTTTTTTTACAATTGCCAGCTCACTATTTCGCGGGGTATCCTGGTGCATTTAGTTTAATGACAGTTGTTAGTTTTTTAAAGATTCATCATTAATAATAAATTGTAACGTTATTTATTACTTTAACAGTGAAATAACTGCATATATTCTGTATTAATATTAAATTTGGATAATAACTTGATATTTAGCATTAAGAGAACTATAGAGATACTATTATTTCTAAAATTTTAAGAGAGAACCGTAAGAACCGAAAAAACCGGTTCCTCGTTTTACAGAACCGGTTCTATCAGGGTCTTTCAGAACCGGGAATTCCCGGTTCTTTTGGAACTGGGAAAAACCGGTTCTGATGCCCTAGTTGTGGGTGGATAGAATGCAAGCACGGAACAATACTTTGTGTGATCCTTAAATAGTTGCTTTTAAACGCATCTAAGGCATAAGGAAAATCCTAATTGTAGGGCAATGTTAATTAAAATATAAGAATAAATCAAGTGTTGCTGCCCAGCTTTTCCGAATGCGAAGCCCTTAAGACACAAATGAGTACAGATTCTAATGTGGCATTAAATTAAAAAAAAAACTTTTTTGTTATTACCATGTATCTACTCTGTCGTAAAGATGGTCTCGCCAACCACTTAACCACACGATTTCGTAGTGTTTGTACTTATACTTAGAGTTGACATTCCATTACATAATAAGTGTGTAATATTGTCCCAAGATGTGCTAACTAAAGTTTGAAATTGACATGTTTGTTGAAGGAAAGGATTTCACTTGTGAAGCAATATTTTGATTGAATGTTCTAGAAAAAGCAAAGCTTTTCCTATTTTTTTTTGTCCCCTATGGGTGTTTTAAGTATCATAACGTATAGTAATCTATATATATAAAAATGGTTCGCAAAATGTGTTGGCAAGCGCATAACTCAACAACGCCTGGAACGATTTTGTTAATTCTTTTTTTGTTATGTTTGTTATTGTCAGGAGAAGGTTCTTATCATAGAAAATATTAGAAAAGTACAGGGGAAAATTGGGAAAAAGTGACCCTTTGATAGCGAGGTAGCTGGACCCGTGCGAAGCGGGGGCGGGCCGCTAGTTATCAAATATCTTTTCCTGCTCTGAGTGACTCGAGAGGTCTTGTTCAGGTTTTGGACTGTTATTGATAAAAAACCACTTAGTTCCTCCCCTCCTCCGAGTGCCGAGAAGCTACGGTACATTATTGCTTGCAAATGTTTAAAAGCTTCATCTATATTATATTGATTTGCCAAGTCCTTTTGACCTATTATGAAAATAAATTCAAATTTAAAAAAAAGTGTTGCTCTAATCTCCAATTCTCCTGTGTCGTAGGTGTGTTTACAAACATACAATTTCACATACACATGACACGCTTAACCTGATCAACAATTTGTGGATCACATACAGAGTTGTTCTGTTGCGCAGCAGGCAGTTGCCAAGCCACCGCGCAACCGTGCAATTAATTTATATTATAATATTTAATTTTAATTTCATTATTTTATTTCTATATTAGAATTTCTCATTGGCCAAGTAATTGTTAGTTCTACAGCGGTGGAAGTTTGAAATTATTATATTCTCATCGTTTTTATAATAACTATCGTGAGACATACTAAATTAACTAAAAATCGTAGTAAACTCAAACTAGTAGAGCTTTTCTCAAGTTACACATATGAGTAACCCGCGATTTTTAGTTAATTTAGTGGAGAAAACATTGTAAGGTGGAAGGCAGAAGTTATAGGGAAATCTTAAATTTTCTAATCGACCTTACGACTCGACTATTACCCATCACGCATTTACAACTTCGAGAGTGACAGTATACATAGCATAAATGATGACAATGTTCCTGGCTTGTAATTTATATGCTTCAAAGACACACAAAGACGTGCAATATAACACAAAATGTATGGAAATTGTAGCTTTGTTGCAATACAGAACGTCGTCTTAAAATATATTGATATGTTGGTATCTCTTCTTACATTATAATTATTGGTATAAGTTTGTATTTTCTTTTATTTCATAAAGTAATAAAATTTGGGAAAGTATGAAAGTTTCTGTGACTTTACGTGACGATATAGAAGCTGACGGATTAATTGATGGTACTGAGTTTTTAACGATTTACTTATAGGGGTTTTGAGTATAGAAGCCTCCGATAACCTCACTCACATGACGAAACACAACATAGGTATTGCTTCACGACGCTTTTCTGTAAGGCCGTGGTATCACTCCGGTCGAACTGTTTGAATTTGTGCCGAAGCATGGCGTAAATAACATTAAGCTTATGATACATTTATAAGTTAATTTGTAACGAAATTTATGTTCCATATTTGACTATAGCCATCCTATAAAACAGTCCAAACTACAAAATCAACAATGAATGCTATAAAACACCAAACAAAGACTACTCAAACCGGCATTCCAATTTGTACAATTCAAATCAATTACAAACTTAAACCAATTGATAGTTTATTTTAGGTCTCAATTACTTTGTCACTATATCTCAATCAACACAAATTAGGTGCTGGAACCGCCCACAACTATCCTAACGAACACAGAGTAAAGAATTCCAGGGAACGCAAACTTTATTTAGTGGTCTCATGTGTTTGACCTTGAGAGAATAGAAAACAGTTGCTATGTGATAATCTGTAAATGAATTCTGTACTAATAGGGCTGATGTTTAGTGGAACGGCGCAGGAGAGACCCTCGCTTGGTGCAGGAGACAGAACAGGGTGATTAATAGTCAATAAGAGTCTGGATACTCCCTCCACCAGGGAAAAGTCATTTAAAGATTTTACCCCCTCAAAAATAGTTATAGGTACGTTTTAGGATTATATCAGACAACGTGATGAAACCTCGACTAATCGCATTGAAATTGCAAATCTACCATGAGCAAACTTAGTGCTTATAACTTTTTCGTGTGAGAAGAGGCCTCAGCAGAAGGCGCTTATAGCTAGCTATTCTTGTTAGGTAATACACTATGTGAACCCTTTATTTTTTAAACAGTAGGAAATCCCATTAAAAAGCTGATGAACTAACATCAAGCATAATTAGACTTTAGTGTTATGTTTCATTCGCCATCAATTCTTTTAGACTTTGATAGAGCTAAGAATAAACAGATTCTTAAATAACTGCCTAGATTTACATCTTTATCTATTTTACTTACTATCCAAAGTTATATAGGTAATTATAGTAAATAAACTACAGAAATGTATGCATTTTCTCCTCTAACGATAAAGACATACTTACCGTAAGTAAAATTTTTTGACTCGTGTTTATAAGTGAAATAAAACAATATTATTTTCCATGTTTATAATGTTCTGTTAATTTGTGGACAACGTTGTGGGCTGCGTTGTAACATCAAGTTTTGTTTATAAAGCCTGTGTACACTATTATAATGTAGCTGTTTGTTGTCTCTAACCAATAAAATAAAAAAAAATATACCATACTTTACCTTATAAGGTTTCAACATCTTCCTAAGTTCTCCACTTTCGTTCAGCTTCTCGACGGTATCTGCGTCCTGAAACCAAATAAGCGTGCTTTTAATTAAAATTTTCGTAATTAAGCCACCTCAGTGACATTTGTGGCAGAATACTGCAATACTGTTACGATGCTAATTAAAAATGTTGTATTTAAAGCTATGCACCGTCCTATATTTTTCTTTGTTTTGTGGTTGCATTTATTAATTTTCTTATTTGTCATTTTGTTTTAGTTAAGTAAAAACGATATTAGATGGCAAAATACGAGTGTAAATTAAAGAGTAGATACCACGGCTTTATAAAAATCAGCGTGAAACAATGCTAAGTTTCGCTGTGAAATTGAGGTCTTCGGAGGCTTGGTTCTTCTCTTTTCATATCCATCCTCAATTCTTAAATCCCCGAAACCTTAATCTCCAAAAGACCGGCAACTAGCTTGCTGCTATTGCTTAACATCAGATTTGTCAGCCTATTACATAAAAAATACGGTGTATAAATGTAGGATCATGGCTGTGTATGGATTATTTTTCTTTTTTATAGTAGTATACTATTCCAACAATTATAAATAAAACACATTTTAGTATTTAATTTATTTTCTTAGCATAAGTATCTGCACTGATTGGCGACATGCGTTAGTGTCGGCCAATGCTGAAAAATTAGTGCCGTGACACTGTCTCGTATGGGGTCGCTGCATAATGCTGAGCGAGGGCCATTTCGCGTGCTTGGACTAGACGCATATGTTTTTCCTACCTACCTCTACTTTTGTTATAATGTTTATGTTTTATGTATTTTTATTTTTATTATCTTGTTCGTTTTGTGTCTTTTATGCGTCCCAGACGCGAATTAATACTTTTTGTTTGTTTGTTATTTGTGGCAATAGGTTCACTGCCTGACATGGGATATTTAACATAAGTGTTGAGGTGTGGTTGTACATTGTAAACGTGTTTGTGATGGTGAGCTGTGATGTGCCCTCCATAAAAAAAGATATCATACAACATTAAAACATTTCATCACATCAGGCATCATCACGATATATTGCCTGCCTGACTACTCTTCAAACAAGATTTTCTTAAGAGAATACCCTTTTTTCTTGTCATAGAAATCGAACTAGATTGCGTGTTATAACGATTGTGATATTGCACTATGTAGTAAAACGTTAGGTACTATTTGAAATAGACACCATTAAAAGCCTGTGGATATCGTAAGAGCTGACTTAAGGACTAATATATGTACATTGTTTGCGTAGAAGCGGCATGCTTCGGCACGAATGGGCCGAGTCAATTTGAATGATACCACGGCCTCACTGATAACCAGCCTATAACTGCCACAGCGTTGTGGCTTTAAGTAAGTGAGTTCCAATGCTTAAATCCCCAATCCATGAATTTATTATCTCTTAGGTACTTGAGGTAATGTTCTCGTAATTCCTGCGGTATTCACAGGCCCGTGTGCCTCCTATTCCATAAAAAAAAAAACATAAAAAACAAGAGAATGCAATGCCTATACCGGATTGAACTTCCAGTAACCTCAGTCACATGGCGTAACAAAACGCGAGCGTTGTTTCACGAAGGATTTTTGTGGGGACGTGGTATGGCTTCGGTCTAGCTGGCCCATATCGCGCGGTCGGTCGGTCACTAGCGTGCCCATTGTTACCGAAGCCTGGCTCGCTAACACTTATAAAAGAGCCTTGTTTTAAATTACTAAGTTACGAATTTAGCTTCAAAATTCACATCGATATATTATAAATAAATCCCTCTTCAAACGAGTATCATCATTTCCTATACAGGAAAATCAATAAATATATATCGTACCCGGAAAAACAAAACACGAGCGTATTTCCGAGTTTCCTCTGTAGTCCGTCGCTTCTAGAAGTGTGGGGTATTAATTATCACAGGTATAAAATAACAGGTATTATACTGGAAACAAATATGTATTTTTTAGGTAAACCAATTTATGTATTTTAGTTTATTTACCTTTATATTTAATTTTATCAGAAGTCAACATAACTGCCATTTTTTGAGTGTTGAAATTATGAAATGTCTCCCCTCGCCTAGGGTGAGGCCAGAGGTCCTCACGCTAGTTCCAAGACAAATACCTCCCAAAACCTTCTTGTCCGATAAGCACCCGCATCAGGCTTTATCAACTGATAGAAGAATGATGAAAATAATCTTATACCTGTTATTTATTACCTATATTAATATAACAGGTATTTTATGGAACAGTAACAGTAAGCACAGATATTGTTTTTGACTTCTTACAGCCCAAGTTTAGTTCTCTATACCATCAGTTACTGGCTTTTACCTGTCGTCACCTGCATTTCCATCGAAATCGAGTGTTACAGAAACTTAAGCTGAATTTATGATACGTTTCTACTATTATAATGTAAATGTAAAGAAAAGTGTTGTTTTGAAATATAATATCTATTTATTTAAAGCGCGAATCGTTTTCTTTATGCAAATCGTAGTTGGAATTGTATTATTTTTGTTTTTATGATGAGTTTGTTTTAAGATTTTGAGACTTAAATCGATTTGTTGATGGTTGGAATTTGTCTACAATAGACGCAGACACATTGATGTGATCGGTATAGCCTGCCAGTTGTGGAGATTATGGCGATTATTTTTCTATAGAGATAGGCTTTCTTTTTATGTCGCTTATGCGAGATGTAAGTGATAACATTGTTTTAACATGATTGAACTAACTTTATAATGTAGATTGATAATGTAGACTAAGAATAGGATTGTTAAATCGATTGAAACATAGTAAGCTAAGAATTTCTTGTTCATTCTCCTCTACAATTTGGAACGAGAAAATATGTTCACGAGCATCTTATATTTATGACCAACTATATAACACTTATTAATATTTTAGTTGTCATTTTAAAGTAGGTATCTCATATTATTATTATTTTTGGCCTTTATTATTACAGCTTTTCATATCAGACTGTCACGGAATGAGTGCGAAGTTCGAGTTAAGCCACCGATTCTATAGATTCTATAGATTCTATAGATTTTAAGTATGATTTGTATGGCATGGGACGATAACAGCGCTCTTCTCTCACTTTCTTCGGCAATGATATCAAAAGTAAAAAGGCGTAGATAGGTCATAAGCGCTCAGCAAGTGATACATTAAAAAGTGGCTAACTATCCACACATTTTCACATATTTTGTCTCTTTTTCACTCGCGATTATTGAATCATGCCATCCCACTTTGAAGTTTAATCATACGAATTGTTCATGTGTGCATCAGTTTCGTTTTTGAAAATCGAATGTAGTTTATGTAATCTAGCTACACTATTTTACTTATAATATTATTATTTAAAAGGCATAAATTCATAAATAACAAAACACGATCGAATCGGTCAAAAAAACTGACGCAGCCTATTAATCAAAATCAAATTTCAATAATGACCAATGTTTCGTTACACAAATAAAGGGTATCAGTTAATTCCTAGCTAATCATGACTGTAAAGGAAATGTCGGTAAGCAGTGCATTATCGCACGGTACCGTCGGTAATGCAGTTTCCGATGGGCGGCCTTTGTACGCTCCGGGTTTTATCGGGTTTATCCCAGTTTTACTGAGAGCTATATCTACGATAGTTTTAGGATATGGCAAAGATAATTAGATTTTTGTGCAATTTGGAGGCAAACAAACTGACGAATGAATTGATTGGAAAAAATAAGCTCCGCTCAACACCAGCCACCCACAACACCAGCTTTGTGTATAAAAAAATATGCCTTGGTATAAATCAAGACAATCTCATATTTAATGTTAAAAAAGAGAATTTTAAATATCAGCTAAACAATTATGTGTCGAAAACTTATTTCATCGGTTTTTTTTTTCAAGAAAACCGTGTGATCCGACTGATGGTAAGCAGTGACTTCCGCCTCGGTACACATTTAAAACCAGAGTTATCACAAGAGCATCTCCAACCATGAGAGAAACAGTTTAATAGCACCAACGTTAAGAGACAATAAGTTATCCCAAAGAAGTTCCTTGTTATTCCCAAGTTTTTCCAAAGATTTTGAACAGTAAAACTAACATAATATTAATCACCATTCAAATTGCATCCAAGATCTATACACAGATAAGTGGCCTTTGTTTCTTTTGAGCATTAATCACCACGCTTTCTTACGGTAGATTGGCGATTTCAAACTTATAATCACAAATTATTCCTAAGTCCAGGTTTCCTTCGCCGTATGTCAGTGTTGTCTAAATAATATAGAGTTTACATACAACTGGGAAAAAGTCACATTGGTAGGTACTTGCCAGATTTCACCATTTTCATTAGGAAATAAATGTACAGGTATTGCATCTGGCTGTGATGCCACATCCAATGTTTCATTAATCCTTATTTCAGCTCTAGTTTATATGTTAATGCGTAACATTATACTGGTACCCACTCCCCTGTGGTACTAGTGCAGATAAAAACTCAGATTACAGAGGTCTTATGAGTACCTAGTTGTATTATGTATGTGTGTATGTATATGCAAAAGGTTTTTTTAAACGGCGTTAACCAGGTCATTCAGTTCACTGGTGATTTTAGCATAAGTTTATAAATAGGTTACATGTCACTTGTTATTCTTTGAAAGGAGGTAGGCAGATGTATATTTGTTACTATTATATACTATAAGTCGCCATCTTGTTTTCATCCTTTTTTTTTATGTACGAAATACCTAATAATTTATGTCCATAATCGAGTCGGGTAAGTTTGATTTCTTATTTTGGTTCTTTAGGTTTCTTTTGTAGTTCTAAATGCAGACAGGATAATTATAGTGATGTTATTGAGCGATAGACTTTTTATTTTAATAAAATATTAAAATAAATTCACAATTCATTTGATTGATTAAGGGTTAATTTTTTAATACTCAGATAAATGTTATCTGAGGAATAAAATCGTTGCTCTGACTGTCTTATACAAACATTCTGACGCGACAGCATCATAATTATTCCCCAGGTAACTTTTATCTAACCATTGAAAAATCAACCCTCTCGTAATAAAGTAGTTCATTAGTTCAACATAAATAGGTACTTACTTATATTCAAGAAA